CTTCAACAAAATATAACTTTATTGGTTGTACTTAGAAAATAAACTTTAAACGGTTTTATCGTGCCAGTATATAACCTGAATGTAAATCTCCAAAGTCCTTCAAACCATCCATTTGTCGCAGATCCTGCCATCCAACCGGAGTGCAACCGACTTTGCAGGAATCACTTGTTGCTCGGCTGAGCAGCAAAGTAGAGCGCAACGAGGCAGTAAAGCGCCCCTCCAATGGTCAGCCCCATGGTGGTTCTGTAGAGCAGCTTGTCAATCAGACCCCCCTTCAGATGGACTGGGACTCCGTCAGACCTCTGAAAACATCATCGAAGAACGTGAGGGACTCTCATACGTCTGACGGAGTTCACAAGATCCACTTGGGGGTGACAGTGAACTCCTGGTTAATGCAGGGCATGATTTTTAGTTTTCCCCCTTGACTGAAAAACGGGTGCGTAAAACTAAGCGAATTAATTAAACGTATATTTCACATGAAAATGTTCAAGCAAGCTGTATCGTTTTGTCTAGCCAAAGACTGCGAGCTTTGCGATAACACATAATGAAAAATATATATGCCGGGTGAATGGAAAATAGCATGACTGTGACGGTACGGTAAATCTAAGCTTTTCAGCAACTGCAACTTTATTGCATAAAAACACAGCAATACATACAAATGGAGCATAAAACAATACTTACAGGGAAATATTCACTTGCTCTTTGGGAAAACAACTCTTACTCGGGCTCAGTTGGGGACCTTCTCTGCCTACAATTGTGGTTAATTACGTTGCGCCTCTTCTCGGAGAGCTCAGTGCTGGCCAGCACAAAACTCAAAGTAAAATACATTTTGAGTACTCTGTATCGGCGAGTCCTCAAATGCAAGTAATTGTTCTCTGTCTGAAAAAATGTTGTCTTTACATCCCTCGATGAAACCATAGCAACATGCTCAATTCAGTCGCTCAAGGACAATGTTGAGAAACACATTGCAAGTGGCAGCACTTCATTTCACCCATTTCCAGCCAAGGAAATAACACCTTTTCGAATGATTCAATACAGTTTGACAATTCAAGTAACATGACGTGCCTGATCCATCTGCAGATGAATTATGTTTGGAAGAATAATGGCTGTGACCATGCCTACAATTACAAATAACATTTGTACAAGAGTTGAGCCGCTTAAGTGTCCCATGACACTGGTTGATTTCCAAATTGTAGTTAAAAACAAAATTACCGCATCGGAAATAGTGTCAAGGGAATGTCAGAAAACCTTTGCTAGCCACGCAAGCACATAAGCCATGTTTTCAGTAATGTTTCAGCGTAAAAAAACAAAACAAAGTTGACCACTGTATAAGGTCGGCAAAACTAGAGATGTTAAACCAAAGTAGGCCTGCAAAGAGCATGACTACAGCTTACCTGGAAGAGTCTCTGCAAGTCGGGGACTTTGTTGACTCCCAAATATTGCACCTGGCTTCCTGCTTCAGACACCAACTTGGTCGGAGAAGCAAAGATGACAGGGGGACTGACTGGAGGGACAGCTGGACGCAGACCCTGAACAAAACAAGTATTATTAGAATTGCAATACTGTATACAGAGGTGACACAAACAGTCACACATGGAGAAGTACATATTGATTCAACTCCCGTACTTAGTGTATGTGGGGGTGTAAAGGGCACTTCTCTTTTTCTCCTTCCACCATCACGTGTACCTTTATTTACAGAGCGTGACTGGAGAGTGCTTTCGCCACCTCCGACAATTATTAGGTCCACCCTGCACCGCACGACCCGGACATATTCTGTACACCAGGTCGAAACAAACCAAAAAAAAAAGACGTATTTTCTACCTATTTTCGCATGACTCTTACCTGCGGGGTGTATGCGTTGGCGGTTGCTCCAGTGAGCCGCTGTGTTATGCCATTAAATTTATAGTACATCGTTCACACTGGTCAGCTGAAACGCACTTCAACCCGATAGCTACTGAACGACACCAATGACCCGCAGCTAACTGCTAACCATAGACATCCGATATAAACAGATCCCGCTTTGTCGCAGATTCGTACGTAAACGCAATCGCCATATTGAATGTGTCAAAGTTGAATATTTTTTTTTGTTTACTCAGCTGTCTGCTGAATAGTGATTTTTTTTATATGTGTGTGTGTGTGTGTCCACGTGCACGAATACGAGGATAAAGTGCAATAATATGTGCGCTTTTTTAATGTAGTATACTTGCGTTATTTTCGGTCGCGCTCAAGCACAAAGCGGGACAGACTTCGAACACCGATATGTGAGATACGAAACTGCTTCTTGACGGAACACGACACAACATTAGGTGGTTAGTTATAATAGCTATTACTTTCAACCAGTGAGAAAGCCCCGCTTGCGCAGGGCATCAAAAAATTGGTTAAAACTCTTGTTGTTCCTCCCCACGGAAATCTTTAGTAAAAGGCGAAAGATTTATACGATCTGAAGAGAAACAAGAGTGTACTGAGTTGTTGGACTGAGGCAGGGTGAAGTCATTGGAAGCGCTATTATTTACACTAACGGTGTTTCCACATCAAATCTCAACTTTCATGAAAAATTCCACTGTCGAAAGAATAGTTTTTGTAAAAGATGAATATGCTGAGGGTATAGTAAAACATACCAACAAACAAGTCTAAATCTTAATTAAAATATGCTTCTGGCGCAAAGCATTCTGGGTGTGTAGAGCATTTCCGCGTTGGGCGTGTCACGCTTGCTGGTAGCTCCTCCTCCACGCCCCTTCAAATCATTGAAAAATAGCGAATGAAAGTATACAATACTTGAAGACCCGTGAACGCTCAAATTTACCAATTTGGAGACAAAAGCACTTCACGCATGCCATACATTTCTGCTATTTCATGTTATACGTTGGAACTTCAAAATAACATATCCTGTATTTGTCATGATATACATTCAAAACCCTGGGATCTATGGGAAGAAAAGCTGCTGATGTGAATGCAACAATTATGATTAATATTGACCAGCACCCTTCTGGTAAATTTTACTGACGTGTTATACTGTACTGTATTTTTTCCTCATTTTTCTTGCTGCAACACGTTGACAGTCTCCAGTTTAACAGATACAGGAGGAGGAGGAGGGGAAGTGACATGATGAAGCTGTGAAGAATGTGAGTGGGTTTTCAAGGTCTTCCACATTCACAGAAAAAATAAAATTAAATGCAAAGAACCAAGGGGGCAAATATAACTCGCATATATATATATATATTTTATTTCAGGACGAACAAGCTTCCCCACTCCCTAGATAACTTGTACTAGTTTCTGTCAGAGATGACAAATCATTTGTGACTCAGATGTGAAAAGAAACGTTGTCGATCTGATCCTTCGCACCTTTGCTGTCCTGGTCATGCCCAAGGAATGTTTTGTAACGTGTGACAGTGTTGTCGTGATAACTTCACACCTTCGAATGATTTACGAATATTATCACATTCGCTGTTGCTTTCATTCATCCTCTGTCAGACCATCTTCATCATAAAACCTTTATTAACTATGAGGGCAGTTTAAAGCAGGATTTCGGCTGGACACTTTTTAATATCAAAATGAAAACAAAGCACATTTTCAGACAAAGGCAGATACTACAACAAAATATTTAGTTGTTTAATTTCACACTGGGTGGGTGGGCAGACCCATTTTTCTACAAATAATTGAAGTCATTTTGAAGAACCATCTACTCCAAGATGCTGATCAAATCACACTTGGTCTAGAATTAGAATTTCTTAAGAAATTTTAATTTTATAAGAAATAAAAAAAAATCCTCCCAAGAGGACAATCTTCATTTACTATACAGGTGGTTTTCATGAATAATATTTTAATGATAAATACAAAAACTATAAAATCTTAGTGTTAAGCGGGTTTTGCCACACTTACCTTCAGGCATTCCAGTATACGCACCGTTCATTTTTCATTATTGTCAACATGAACCATGTACTACTTTCCCCACTTTGAAATAAACCGCAATTCTGGTTCGATGGTAACTTTTTTTCTTTTTTAGCCAATTGAAAAAGCGGAAACACTTGTAGACTGAAGTCTCATTAGACCACAATTTAGGTTGGGGAATTTTCAAGACTTTATACTGTATTTTCACTTAACATTAAAAAAAAAAAAAATTATAATTGCTCCACCAGCAATCTGCTCAGCTTTAGTTGTCCTGCTATGGATGTGACAGACAGAATACGTTCTGTGATCACCATCCAAGCACCCTTTCAAAAAAACAGCCTCAATCAGATATTTTCCCAGATGGGCATCTGGGAAGCAGACCATCTGGCGAGCCGGATTATGGTTTTTGCTCTTCACGGACGAAGCTTAGTTTCCAAAAAAGAGGCACTGCATGTGTTTTTGGACTTGAGTAATGACTTCAATCCTTCAATCTAAAAACCGTAATAATAATCACAATGAACTGCCACTTAAAAATGATTCTCCGCCAGTGTCAGACTCTGCCTTAATCCACCTCTTAATACCAGCAAAATATGATCACTCCACAAAATCGAATGTATCAAAAATCTGGAGCAGTTCCGAATTGATCTAACTGCATGACAAAACCATAAAAAATTAAAAGAAATCTATCATATTAATCATCCTGATGATTACAAATAAGTACTGTACAGTGTGCATATGGCTACAGAAATGTTTTGCTGGATTAAGTTTTGCTCTGACCAACCAATCAGAGGACTGGAAAAGGCTTACGCCATTGTGGGGCCAGCGTGTTGGCCCTGTGAGGATAAATCTACGATCAGATTGGTTCAAGTCACGGTGTTCACTGTAAATAGTTTGCTGAAGTTACATGAGACAGCAGGAAATGATTCCGAAGGCCATGGGGCAGATTAGATCGACATGGCAACACATAAATCTGATTGGACAAAAAACAACGAACATACACACTACTGGAAGGTGGGCAGCCAAGAGAATCAATGAGAACAATTTCATTGAAGAGTGAGCTCAAGTTTAGGTTTAAAGTAAAAAAAAAAAAAAACTCATCTGCGTAGCTAGAATTTGATTTAAGCCCAGCAGCACTTTTATTATTTTTTTTGACGAGCAGTAAGAGTGAGATAATCGACATTCACACTCCAACAGCTCGAGGAGCCTGACATTTCCGCCACTTCATTTTCCCCTCTCCGAGTCTGCCGTCTCCATGGAAACTGTCGATACTGTCCAAACTGTCCAACATATTCAGTTGCAGACCGTCTGCTCCAGAGAGTTCCCGGTTGAATCACCGCAGACTCGGTGCGAACTACAGAGAAACGACCTGAAATGAAGTCGTTCCTATAACGGTGCTTTAGTCTGCCACCAAATATTGTTGCTGTTTATGTGGCAGACAGTTTGTGTGGCAGACATACTAACACAAGGTATAAGATGCAGTGAGTGAAGATGTGGACTAGGTTGCTTTGTTGTGTTAGCCGCTACTTAGCGAGCGTCCAGCTGGCCGGCTTTGTCACTTGTGATCAAAAAAATGAAGAGTGTTTGTGTGTTCTGTACAACGTGACACATGATGGCCGTTTTCTCCGTGTTGACTTGAGAGTGTAAAAAAAGTATGACCGTGAATGCAAAGAGCAGACAGAAAATGTAGGACCAGGTGTAATACCTTATTTGACAGTCTCGTTAAAGGGTTATGGCACTGCAGATTTCACCGACAGATGATGAAACGAGTGGCAATCACATCCAGAGAGGAGCAGAGGGAGGTTCGCATCGTTTGGTACCTGAGAGAGCAGCAGTCTGATGTTCTTCCGCTCTGCTGTAGCCAAGTGCCAGGTTTTTTTTTTCTTTTTTGAATTTGTGCAGAGCGAAGCGAGGCAGTTGAAAGACTGCACCATGGCAGATTTGCCATTTGTTATACAACAGCAGTGTGCTGCATTGTGAATGTGAATTGGGAAGGTGCCCCAACTTCTTTCATATCCTTGTTGCTGAATAAATGCCGACGCTTTTCCCACAAAGCTCTTTGAGCAGTGATGTAAATCGCCTTCATATCCATCGGAAGGTGTTTGCACTAATACGCTCGCTGTTCTCACTAGTAGGTCAACTTCAGCAAACTCGTAGGAAAGCTAAACGTTACTACTGAGGCAAAACGGTTTCGTAGTTAATTACTAGGCGACTATTAGTGACATGATAAAATTCGACTAATCCAATACTTCGCTTGTAGAACTAGTAGCGTGCAGATGTCAACTAGTGCAGAATATTGTCTCACGACTAACTTGTAGTTGTTCTAAACGCCAACATTGTCCGACTGGTGTGCAGAAATGCCACATGGGAGAGGAAAAACATATCTGGTAAAACATATTTTTTCTCCTAGTGCCTCACTAGTGTGTTGAATTTTACTTTCAAAGTGACTCCAAAGTCACTTGAAAAGCAAAACAAGAAACGATGCAACTGCTTGCTCCTGCGATAGCATACTTTGAGTACTCTGCATTGGCGTGCATAGCTTCACAATCTGAGAGAAGATTCCGGAAAGGAGAATCAACGAGGTGGAATACTCGTCTACGGCATCTACAATCACCTGTTGCTCGCAGTCCTTTGGAGAGTGTTTCTTTCCCGCCGTAGCGTGTTGCTATGGAGTGTCTTTCAGTCGATGAAATCAGTCGACGAGCTACGGATGCAGCGCACCGAACGCACCTTCAGCTCGTGGTAGCACTGCACAAAACTGTGGTAGATGAAGGTGATCGGCAGCGCCAGGAGCACGATCCCACTCACCACGCAGATGCCGCCCAGTACGCGGCCCGCCACGGTCACTGGGTACATGTCACCGTAGCCCACCGTCGTCATGGAGATGATGACCCACCAGCTGGCAGCAGGGATGCTAGTATAGTCTTGGTTCCCTCCTTCTAAAAGCTGCGCCAGCGCGCTGAAGATGGCCATGGCGACAAAGATGAACACCAGCAGCATGACCATTTCACGGTAACATCGTCTCAGCGTCAGGCCGAGGGTTTGCAGGCCCAAGAAGTGACGAGCCAGCTTGATCACCCAGAAGATTCTCATGATGCGCAGCACCCGCAACGTCACGCCGGCGCGCTGAAGCTGAGAGTTCTCTCCCGTCAGCACCGTGGCCGTCACGGAGATGTAATACGGGGTGATGGCCAGCAGGTCGATGATGTTCAGAGGACGGCGCACAAACTCGCATTTGTCCCGAGACACGATGAAACGGACGATGCACTCGGCGGTGAACCAACCAATGCACACCGCCTCGATGATCCTGGGAAGAACCAGTTCGAGAAAGGAGAGAAAGAACAATTTCACAACATGAAGAACGCAGAATAAGGTCTTCCTAAGACTACCTGTGTTCATCCAGTGTCTCAGCAGCCTTCCACTCTGGTAAGGTGCTGGCACACAGCATCACCATCGAAATGAGAACAAACAGTACAGACACAGAGGCCAGGATTTGCGCCGCCACTGAGGACGTGGGCTCCTCAAAGGTCCTCCTCATCCTCTCCAGCCAATGATCTGGCGCTTCCTCCGGCTCTTGCGGCTCCTCTTCGGGGAAAAAGTGGACAAAGCAGTCGGACAGACGCTCATCCAGCCGCCGCTGGCAGCACAGTTGCAGGTCGGCGCTCTCGAGGCCCCAGTAGAGCATCTCGTTATAGAAGGAGAGTTCGCACATGTGGGGGACAAAGCGCAGCTTGCCGTGCTGCAAGTACAGCATGATGAAGCTGAAGGCCTCGGAGTGGCGGTCGAAAAAAAACTCGTTCCTGTCACGGTCGTAATCATCGCACAGCTCTAACAGCTCGCTCTCTGACACGCAGCGATACAGGCGGCTGAGTCTACTCAGTGGGAGGTGCTTCATCAGCTCCACCGAGAAGGGAAATCTGCGACCGCCAACGTTCAGGGTGCAGAAACTACTTCCAAACTTCATCTTCTGTCAGAGGGTTGAGTCCCACGTTCTCCAATGCTCTTATAAAACTAGCAAAACATCAACTGTCAGACCTTTGCTCATCTCAAACAGGAACGATTCCGGTGCCAGTGTCGCGTTGGGACTGAGATCCATCATCGCTTGATCGGCATTCTTCTATTCTGCTGAAATGAAGTGAAGAACAAACAAAGGAAGCGTCTGAGAAATTACATTCATATTTAACTCATCATTGCATTTGGGGGGTTTAACTTTCTGGGGTCAAATTAAGCGCAAGGATAAAAGATGCAGAATCCTTTATATGGTAACAGGAGGGAAAGAGGATTTTCTAATGAGGTGTGAAAACTGTTTTCCAATTTTGTATAAAGCAAAAAAAAAAAAAAATAGCAATAGCAGATGTCCCATAATACTGATTTCATGCAAATGAGTTACGACCCAATCAACAGTGGTTACAGCCAAGTATTGCTGTCCATTGTTCTAGGAAATGATCAACAATCACTTCCACACAATCACACACACAAACCGCCCGTTAGTCAATTATTACGCTCAGTCCATTCGGTTTCCAATAATGTGGGACGTGCTCATAAAACTGAACCAAATGACTATTAATGAGAAAACTGGAAGAGATGTCAAAGGTGGCTCCATTGAGATCTCAAGTTCTGTTCCAAACACATACACCAAAAAAAAAAAAGAGCAAATTTAATCTATTTGATGAAGGACATCCTTAATTAGACCATCTTATTACTACAACAAGCAGTTTTATTTTCACACTTACCTCAAAACATCTTCACAAAAGTGCACGGGGGATTTTTTTTTTTTTGCGTCTAACTTCTCACTCCTCCAGCAGCCGACCAGATGGACTTCTGTTGAATCTAAAGGGATGAATCCCATCAAACTTCTCCAATCTCCTCCTCCCACTGGTTGTAAAAGTCACCAATGATTTGGAAAAAATATATAGAAATTAATTAAAAATGTCGGTCTGCGCAGATGAATTGCCATAAATCCTTCTGAGTGACTGATGTGAGTGAGACACTTGCCCTCCTCCACCTCCGTGTCCTTCTTCTGTTCATCTTGCCTGCTCAGTCCTCCCTCTCCTGATGCTCCCCACACACCCTTCGCCATTCCGCTCCCTCGTCAGACCCCATGATCCATCGAATTAATGATTGATTGAGTCTGTTTGATTATTTTATGCTATTACATCAATTCATGGCAAAGATGAATCATCGGCTTTAATTCCTTGATTAATGAGGAGGCGATTCTAGCGAAATAGCGCCCCCCTTTGGAAATTTTTATAAGGCAGATGGAAATGCAAAGTGTTGAAAGTACTTAAAGTAAAAAAAGTTTGGCATGTACTTAAGCAAATAGGGAAACCTTTTCTTTACTGCCACTTATATACAATACCTATTTTGTAACACACGTAATTTGACAACATGGATCAAAGCAGCACAAGATTATCCAAGAGTTATGTATTACTGGCCATCTTTGTTTTTGCGAGTCATACATTACATTTGTAAGCATCTTGCCACCCCCACCCCCCCTCCCTCACCCACACGATTTCAAAGCTTTTGTCTTCCTCCTTTTCGTCTTTGTAATTTTTCCATCTTTCATCCTTTGCGGCTTTATTTCCCAATTGCCGCGTGCCCTTCAGTGTCCAATTTCTATGCACTTTAGTTCTGACAGAGAAATCCAGCGAGGCCATTAAGAACCGTCTTGAACCCCGACAATTTGGAGCAACTACTAATATGGAGAAAAGTTGCTCAGCAAACGCAAAGAAAAGGAGCTTTGGAAACAATTCTAAAAAGCCCTTTTCACACTTCACAAATGGGAGCTTTCAAAAAACGGTGAGTTTATCTCTTCGTACTTTCAACAACCTAGATTAAGGTTATGGGTGGGATGGAGCTGAGAATACTCGTATTATGGTGACAGTAAATGAAGTATCGTCATGTTTAATATTTTGAAATTATATTTTTGGTCACTGAGACAAAGGTAGTCATTCGCCGCGATCTTGTGGCGTCATTTGGAAATTACAAAGCCTTTTGGGGTCAAGTACTCACCGATTTTTGCTGTTTGTGTCATGCGGGTTCGGTCCCTATCCCCCAAGCAAAAAATGGAGTTTGTGATTATAGTGTATGATCAAAGTTTTTCCCGCTTTTTATATTCATTTTTTTTTTCCTCTCCCAGCAATATCATCAGTTGCAGCCTGGGATGAACCCAGGGGGAAGTTACCGCTACCCTGCAGAGAACGGCCTCACCCTTTGCCAGTTTTCAAACAGCAGGCTGGCTGCACAAAATGCAGCCCTGAGAGAGCAGCTGGTGCTCCAGCACCACCGACATGACCATGAAAGGCAGCAGCTCCTGAGAGCTCTGAAGAAGCCGAACGAGTCCAAGTCGGAAAACCTCATCGCGCTCGTAAATGAACAGTGGCAACAGTGGTGGGCGATCCGAGAGCAGGAGACCGCTGACCAATTTCAAACTCAGTGGGTGGGCATGCAATGGTACATAGAGGAGATGGCTGTTCATTGTTGCACTCAGTTGGAAACCATGCATGAGCACAACGTGGACACTGTTTGCTATTTTCAAAACGAGATGGAGTATCTGCGGTGGCGCATGGAACGGGTCATCTCAGAGAGGGATGATCTCATCAAAAACCTGAAAAAAGAAAATTCTTTCCTCCTGGCCGAGAATAAAGAGTTATCCTCCCAGCTCAGCAAATTCAAAGCAGAGACCCCAGAGATGCAAAATACACTAAAAGCTTTGGAAGATCAGTTGCAGGCTGAGCAGGAGGCAAAGACGAGTCCTGCCATTGAGGGGCCCCTTGAACAAGTGAAAACGCTGGAGGAATCATTTAAGATCCTCTCAGTGCACGAAGAGGAGCTTGAGGTACGCCATTTTAGCTGACCAAGTTCTGACATTATGCACACGGCTGTGCGAAAGTCTACCATCAAAGCGTCATAACCAGCTGAGTCACAACTGTGTTGTACTATGTCAAGTATGCAAAATAAAAATGCAAACCAGCCACAATCCAGCGGATCGTGTGTTTATTCATTGACCTCATGACTGCAGAGAAAAGGGTCTTTGGGAAACCTCTCACTGTCGGGAGGCTAATTAGTACCAAGGCTAACATTATAAGCAGAATTAAAATATTGGAGACATTGTTTTCCACAATAGAATCTTAATTCAAGCCTTTTTTTGAAACTGCTTTTCATCAGGGCAAATGTTCGGCTCCTATCTGTTAAATGTTTAGGCATTGACAAATTAACATATGCAGTACAGTATATTAAAAAAAACCAAAACAATACTTAAGAAGAAACCCAGACGGACTGGTTTGATTATCATTCAACTGGTAAGTTTTGGTTGCATGTTTGTATCACCACTCCTATCAGTTTCAAAACAGTAACACCAATTTGCTCCAGGGCAATCATTTAGATTCCCATGTTACAGACACATTGATGTCAAATCAGTTAAAGGAAATGCTGTCACAACCAACATGGCATTATTCTAAATGTGCATATCTTTGCCAGAAGCTTTTGTGCTAGCATTGACCAAGATTTTGTTTGCCATGCAAATAAAGTACAACTTTGGAATTTGTTTGTCATGGTGCAATTCTTTTCTCTTTTTGTGCCTTCTGGACATGTATGTTACAGAATTAGGATCAAGTGAAAAACTTTTAAAAAGTTTGAGTAAATTCATGAAAAACAAATTCAAAAGCAGCTACCAACGACAACTCTAGTCAACTAAGATTTTGACATCAGTCACATTTTACAAGGTCATTTTATCTTCTACCGAAGTTATTTCGGAACCGATACTCGCACTTTAACTCGAGTATCGATTCCCCGTATTTTACAGTTTATTCTCGACGACCTGTCTCCGCCTCCTGCCTACGAATTATTTCCGCTTCCGGGTTCTTCGTCTTCGCCACAGAGCTGTGGGAGGAAAGATGGCTGAGGCAGAGCCCGACAGGAGAGCCCTACTCTCCGATTTATGTTCGGAATTCTTGAATTTCTCCGCCAAAGACACCGCGTCGGTAAGCGCTTCAATCAGCTGTCAGCCCCCGCGAGGGCCACCTCTTCCGCCGCTCGGGGCCGTTTGATCGCCTAATGTGCTGTTTGCAGGATTAATGTGCCGATCTCCAGGTTACCGAAAGCTAATGCTAGCCTATGGTAGTGATGTATACAACATCTGGATGTCAGCTGAAACCTGTCAGCAGCAGCACGTCAGCGTGTCAACCTTGAAGTCTCACGTGAACACAAACTGCCGATGCAGCGCTCACGTCTAAACCGTTTAAAACCGCGCAATCAAACGCAGTTCGACTACTTTAACCCTCTACCAACACAATGACTTGTGTGTTTTTTTTAAGCGTCTTTTGTTTCACACCGTTTACTCTTCATGTGGCTCTGGATCGTAACACGTCTCATTTTAGCATTTCAGTCGTACTGTCGAAATCGTACTATCAAAGTGTCATAAATCATACGGAGACCGGTAACGTCATCGCGATAGCAAGTGTGTGCTGGGGCTTGTGACCAATGTACTGACTGTAAAAAAGTTTTTTGGTATTTGACAGAGCATGTGTTTGACGTGTTGGTGTAACTTGAGTGCCTGCATGTCAACAATACCGTAGAAAGAAGTAGGGGTGGAATTCAGAGCACCTGCATTGCTGCTTTCCACCTGTGATTTAAAAAAAAATTTACTGGTTAGATAACAAGTTATTAACGGGTAAAGTATGTTTTTGTTACATACCTATTGCATGTGGCCTTTGTATTAAGACAGCATATATGCATGTTCAATTTCGAAGTTTTTTTTGGGGGGGGGGGGACACAGTATTTTAAAATGATTTGCACATTTCTTCAACAATTGCACAATTATTGAATGTGTTTTATAAAATCAGTATCCTGGAAGACCAAATGTCATCAAGATAGATATGTATAAACTAGGGAAACAATATTTACCATTTTAGCAATCTAAAAAATTTGTCTGCTGCAGTTGGAAGGAAAATCCGGCCTTTGTTCTTATTTCTTTATTTTTTTGCAGCACTTAGCTTTTATGGTTCCAGGAGCGCCAGTCTGTCAGGGTGTAGGTGACCCATATTTTGGCGCAGGCGGCTGCCTCCAAATTTACCATGCAGGAATGGTATATGTGCCCAGTGATTGAACCCATCCAAGGTGTTCTCTGCTCACACACAACCCCAATGAGGATAAGTAGAAAAGAAGACAGATGGAAGGATAATGAATCGTTTTGGAAAAACAGTGAAGCTCATTCTTCGAACCAGTCCAAGTCACAACAATAATGCCGAGGTGGAGAAAACATTTTTTTATATTCTGCCACCAAACACAGAATTTTGTTGGACTGGTAGCAGTTTGTGGGCCATATTGTTTGGTACTGAGCTCGTCAGTATGTCACGGAGCCTCAACGGGTGACGCAAACGAAGTCTGACAGAGCTGATTAATCTCTACTCTGTAGACTTAGTCTCCCTTTGGATCGGAAATACCGTACATGTAGTGAAGCTGCAATATGGCACAGTATAGGGTCGTTTATCCTCGTGACTGAAAGATGGAGATGACCAACTGCTTGAAACACACGGTATCATTACATTTTAGATGGTGAAGTATCACTGTACTTTATTTTTTTTTCATGCTGTGCAACTAAAAATGCAATTTTCATTTCCAGCGGTGGCTGGCAGAGGCAAATCTTCAGGTGGAAATCTATCGTCACTTGGCAGAAAACGTACCCAGGATCCTTTGCTTGGGGCCGAGTGGCTGCAGCAGTAAAGAGGAGCAGAGAGAAGAGCAGAGGGAAGAACTGGCATGTCAGCTGCTCCTCTTGGCTCCTTTGGAGTGGCTGCTGCTGGGCGAGGATCCAGCCGCAGGCCTCCCTCAGCTACAGGAGAACAATCAGCCATCACCGCTGTGCGGACACGTGTTCAAGGTTGGAGAGCCCACCTATTCCTGCAGGTAAAATAAATACACGTTGGACCAGTTACGCTTTTGAGGCAGCAAAACATACACCTGCCACAGGAACGAACGTACAAGCATTGTTGACGTGCCGCAGTTGACGCTTGTTGAGTTTTAGTTTCACACTGATGTGACAATTCTGTTGACAAATCGAGGGAATGCAATGTGTCTTTTTAGAAGTTCTACTGTACTGAATCGAAATGATAATTTTCCGGTAACAATTTTTATCTTGTTGTATGTGTGTGTTTACTTTAGGGACTGTGCAGCTGACCCCACCTGTGTTCTGTGCATGCAGTGTTTCTTGGGCAGCGTTCATAAAGATCATCGATACAGAGTGAGTACACAAGATTCGGGAAATTACAAGGGTGAATAAGTACAGTGTGCAAATCTGTTTGAGCATTTATTTGATATCCTCAAGTCAAATAGCTTTCCATAAAGATGTCGTGTTTATGTTGCATTTTAAACGTACCGACGGAAAGCTGCTTGAAGGCTTTTGGAAATTGGACAGGTGCGTCGGCCTCAGCAGCTGCTAGATGTGACACATGACGCCGAGCATCCCGCTTGACACTCTGTCACGCCTGCTGTTCATCTGTTGTGATGATGTCATAGCCTCTAGGTGCGGCGGGTATTTGTTTCAGGAGGTGATATTGCAGTTTTCCGTTTTCTCGGTCAACCATGCTGACTCTATCTCCCTGTCTGTCAAGCACCATCCCAATAATAAGGTTCTTGGTCAAGGGTCATCAGGTCCAAGTTAAGGAGTAAGTTTCAGGAAAATCTTCAAACTTGAGTCGCAGAATATAATAAATATAGATCCCAAATGTTGTTTTGTCACCATTGACCGTCAAATAAAATGCAGAAGATACCATTTATAGAATTCAAACACTACAGTTTATTTGCTTTCACACCAAATTGGAATAACTACATTTCAGTACTACATATAGTTTGTTGTAAGTTTTTAACTCATTCGTTATTATAATTTACTCCTACAATATCATGCGCTTGAAATGAGCAGCTTGTGTACAGAGTCACTGGCAAATGCACCTTATTTACAAAATAAGACATATTAAAAATAAACATTTGCGTGGTACAAAATGGCCCATAGATTGGTACCGTTCGTTGGGAACCTCCCCTGCTTTCAAGAATAGTCAAGCAAGGCAAACACGGAGTCACCGTTGGCAATCGGGAAGACATTACAAGGCTTCGGTAAGAATTTCACCCTGTATTGTTCATCTTTATGAAAAGTAGATTTAGTCTTTCTGAACAGCTCTTGAGAGGTCAAAGTTCAACCTGTCACTTGCACAAAGCACAATCTCGCTCGTGTCAGCTGACCCTGGAGCCGACAGCTGCTTGTCTTCTGCAGGTGACGCACCTGACTGCATGTGTATCTGTGTTTGTGTGCAAATAGATGACCACGTCCGGTGGCGGGGGGTTCTGTGACTGCGGAGACACTGAAGCTTGGAAGAAGGGTCCTTACTGCCAGAAACATACACCGACCACCAACAAAGACTCAGAGGAGGTCTCTAAGCTACTATCTTCCCCACTCGTAAATGCAGCATATTGCTTGAACTGACATGAAACCAAGAAAAAAAAATTCGACCTTGCGACTCCGGGGTGGAGCAAAGTTTGTCTCTTCTATTGCAGCCCTGATGCCCTTCAATCATCACAGAGTGTGATCGATGTGCGTTTACCTTTTAACCTATTATGGAATGAAGGGAAAAAAATGAAACCTCAAATTGAATCACATTCTAAAACATCTATACATGTAGATGTGCTATCAAAAATTCTATTTCATATCATAGTAGGTCCTTATGTGCTGTAGTTTTTTTTTTTTCATGAAGGTGTTGAAAATGACACCGTTACAATTTTTAGACACAGCGGGATACCGTATCATCATAATACCTCCCAACCCTAGCTCTTTGTGCCCCCCAGGACCCTGCAGCCCTGCTACCGGCTGACATGGTTGTCCGCAGTTACAACATTTTTTCCATCATCCTGAAGTATGCTGTGGACATGCTTACTTGGACACAAGAGGATCAGCTTCCCGCAGGCCTTGAACCACCGTATGTATCCTGCATCGCACTTTGCCTCAACCGGAATCTTGCTTCGCAACTGGGGACATTGTAATTCATTTTGTTTGTGCTTTATTATTATTTTTTTTACCCTCTACCCTTTGTGCGTGCAGTGAAAAAGGAGACAACTACTACTGCATGCTATTCAATGACGAAGTCCACACCTATGAACAGGTGATCTACACCCTGCAGAAGGCTGTCAACTGCAGCCAGAAAGAAGCCGTCAGCTTCGCCACCACTGTGGACAGAGATGTCAGTATTGCATTCGTTTACCCGAGAGCTTCTTGCTCGTTTGTAACATGCCCTCACAACTGAAATCAGCCCAACTTGTCATGACAGCGTAGCGTCACAAAGTACCTTAAAATAACAAGGGTGTCACAATATAGCAATTGTGCAAAAATGACTCTGTTGGGAGGGTAAAATAAAAATATGTTGAGCATAGCGGTTGTTACGTATGTAATTAAAGAGGGCAGCGTCATTGTCTAAATGGCTAAGTGGTGAAATCACTGCTAAAATGTATTTTGCGTTCATTTACAGGGCAGGAAGTCTGTTCGATATGGAGACTTTCAGTTTTGTGAACAAGCCAAGACTGTTATAGTGGTGAGTTTCCAGATTTTTCATTTGGCTTCTTATTTCTCATTTATTTACCCGACGATAGTTGCTGCTGACGCTTTGAATATTTGCCAACTTTGTCCACAGAGGAACACCAGTCGCCAGTCAAAGCCTCTCAGAGTTGAGGTGATGCACTCATCGGTTGTTGCCCATCAGTGTTTTGCTTTGAAAGCGCTGAGTTGGTTGGGACAAATCATTCAATACTCAGGTACGTCTTGATTCGAACCAATATCCCTATGTGTTTACACCAGGTGGAAGTAAACAGTTTTGTTGCTGTGTGTGTGTGTGTGTGTGTGTGTGTGTGTGTGTGTGTGTGTGTGTGTGTGTGTGTGTGTGTGTGTGTGTGTGTGTGTCCGTCCTTGTTTCAGATGGCTTGAGGAGAATACTGTGTCAGGTGGGACTTGAAGAAGGCCCAGAAGGAGTAAACTCATCACTTGTTGACCGTTTAATGCTCAACGACTCGAAGATGTGGAAAGGTGTTATTTTATTTGATTTTTACCACAGTAATATTCAACATTTTCTCACAGGGCATTTGGAAATGACACCTGCTGGTGTCCCAGGGACTTGCTCCAGTTTTTGATTCTCTCCCGTGTACGGTTTTGATAACGGTTGGTCTTCACCCCCTGTGAAGGAGCAAGGAACATCTACCACCAGCTGCTGATGAACAGTCTCCTCATGGATTTCAAGTACAAGAAGGTCTTTGCGATCCAGTTTGCCAAGGTAAATACATATTTATATCATGTCTGAAACTCGCGTTGAATTGGACTTTCCTCTTTGTGATGAAGAAAGCAGTTTATTGGTTCTAAAATAACTTGTTTGGAAATACAGTCTGTCTTGGTAGCTGTATAAAAAAAAAAAAAACAACAACAACAACACTGTGTCCTCATTTTAGAACTACAGACGCCTTCAGACAGATTTCATGGAAGATGACCATGAGAGGGTGGTGTCAGTGACCTCACTGTCAGTACAGTTGTTCACCGTGCCAACCATGGTGAGTTCTCTTTTGCGCATCCGCACCCAATTGCTTCCTCGACGTGCTGAATGCCGACATCGTTGTGTTAAGAAAAATGTGTGTGTCCCCTTTGGTTGTCTCCTAATCAAGTGTTGCGCATCGTTTGCAGACAAGACATGTTTCTAATGGTTTTAAATGATCTTTAATAGTTTAAACAAGTGCCTATATGTGGTGTCTTTCAGGCTCGGATGCTGATGGTGAAAGAGAACCTGATGACTACCATCATCAGGACATTTGTCGATCATCTCCGTCACCGAGATCTGCAGGGGCGCTTTCAGTTTGATCGCTACACCGCCCAGCAGGCCTTCAAATTTGGACGAGTCCAGAGCCTCATTGGCGACCTCAAGTAACCGCTATATAACATACAGTACATGCCATTTACTCTCTGTCCTAATAACGGATGGCTGGATTGATTCGCTCTCTGCCCATTATACAGTAGCGTACACCAATGTCTGCTCAGATTTAAAAAATAAAATAAAATCCAGTACACCAGACTAACACCAACTGAAACCATTTTGCGTGTGTCCAGGTATGTCTTAATCAGCCGACCCTCCGAATGGAGTGTTGAGCTCAGAGAGAAGTTTCTAGAAGGTCTGGATGCTTTCCTGGAGCTCCTTAAGTGCATGCAGGTAGTAGACCTACAACCGTGCAGACATATATATGAGCAGAATGCAGAAACGGAGAAATTGCGTCTGTCTTTCAGGGCATGGACCCGGTGGTTCGACAAGTGGGGCAACACATAGAGATGGAACCCGAGTGGGAGGCGGCGTTCACCCTCCAGATGAAATTAACGCATATCATATCTATGATCCAGGAGTGGTGCTCCACCGATGTGAGATATTCTAGAAGGCAACACCACATTACGTATTGTCGCTGTTGGGTTGACTTTCAAACAATTGCTCTTTGTTCAAATGTCTAAAAGAGAGCTTTCTGGGTTGCTCGAATATGCATCTTGTCATTGTCACCGCAATGATTTTCTGTTTTAAAAGCATCAATGTTTCTTCTTCCCCCGTCACGCGCCAGGAGCGTGTGCTGATCGAGGCCTACAGGAAGTGTTTGAGTGCAGTCAGTCAGTGTCACAGCGGCCTTCCGGATGGTGAACAGCCAATAAGCTTGAGTCTGGCCGGCCACTGTGTGGATACATTTATGTACCAGGTGTCTCAGGACAAGGTGTCCATCCACCTGCCTGTCTGCAGACTACTTGCCGGTAAATGCACATGTGACTTTCTAGATCCATCTCGCATAAGTCCAGGATGCATTTTCCTCTGTGGGGCACACAGTAGTACTTCTTTCTCAACCTTAATAATCTTACCTTGGTCACTGAAACTTGCGGCTAGTCATTGTGATGCGCCATCCTTCCCCAGGTCTCCACGTTCTCCTCAGCAGGACAGACGTTGCCGCTCGGCTCCCCGAACAACTCCCGTTGGTCTGTAGCAATTTTTGTGTCTTCCCATTTGATATGTGAACATTTTCTATTGAGTTAGTAAAATGGAGAGGTCCAAACTTCCTTTTGTTAATTTGATCACTTGCTGCCTCAGCTCTGAAATGTCTGTTTGTGTCTTTTTGCTCGCAGGGTGAGCTCAGCCCCCCACTTTTGATTGAACTCCCCCTGCGATGCTTGGTGCTCTGTGCTCAAGTGCTGGCTGGGATGTGGAGAAGGAACGGCTTCTCCCTAATCAACCAGGTGAGCTGAGATTCTGTCCTTAGTACTGGTCTGACCGTCCGTGCTTGTATGTGAGCCAGGTGGTGAGGTACCGCTAACATATACACAAGGGGAAATATAGAATATGTCACGTCTGTTGTTTTTCAATAATGCGAAGTCATATTTGTTTTCGCTTTCAGATTTATTATTACCACAATGTGAAGTGCCGAGTGGAGATGTTCGACAAAGACGTAATTATGCTGCAGGTACAAACTAACTCCCACTGATCGAAACGGAATGCAGTTTTATTTTGGCGTTTCTTAGTTGCGGTCTCTTTTCACAGGCCGGCGCCTCTATGATGGATCCAAACCACTTCCTGATGATCGTTCTGAATCGTTTTGAGCTTTTCCACATTTTTAGGTTCGCAGACTGTCGAAAGAGATACCGACCGACCAATAAGGTTAGTTTTGGGATGCAGACCCTCTGTTTTTGTTTGTTTTTGTCTGCTCACCGTTTTAACCCCCCCCCCCCTTTCTTCCCCAGGATTTGGTACAGCAGAACAATACCTTGATTGAAGAGATGCTGCACTTAATAATCACTGTGATCGGTGTGTCTCTCTTTCATTTTTGCACTTTTATTTATTTATTTTTTATTCATGTTCGCAATTCGGTAGCGATTGAGAATTTGTTCTCATGTGATTCGTATGTGTGTCGGTCAGGTGAACGTTACGTGGCAGGTGTTGGCCAGGTGGAGCCGTTTGACGAGGTCCGAAGGGAGATCATCCACCAGTTGTCAATCAGACCTATGGCTCATAGTGAGCTAGTGAAGGCTCTGCCAGAGAATGTACGTTTCAAACGCACTGTACTGCATCTTAATGAAGGTTTGCGGATTGTTGAAACATTTTTTTCTTTTCTTCAGGGAAACAAGGAGACTGGCCTAGAGCGCGTGATCGACAGTGTTGCTTCGTTCAAGTTAGTGTGTTGATTTGATCTCATTTGGACGACACCCCAGTACAGATGAAATACGCGAAAGCGTTTTAAAACGGTCTCAATTAACAGGAAGCCAGGTGTGACAGGCCGTGGTCTTTACGAACTGCGTCCTGAGTGGAACAAGCACTTCAACCTTTACTTCTATCACTACAGCAGAGCCGACCAGTCCAAGGTTCACAAATACCGACCACCATTTTTTAAGTTATTGGGCGCGTACACGGCATTGTTTTGACGACACCGTGGGATGTGTGCGCAGGCAGAAGAGACTCAGAGGAAGCTGAGAAGACAGAGTGGAGAGGACCCAGGTGAAAACTAGCAAGCGATACACTTGTGTTGGTGTGTCACAGAGCATTTTCAACTCAATCTAGACCGTCATTAAAATGAGTGGCCACATTATGAGGAAAATCTATCACGTTGACAGTCAATAGAATACAAGTCGATCGAAAGATTTCCACTTTGTCCCCACATTTTGCATTGTCCTACATACGACTCTGAAGTATGAACGCATCTGTTTGTGTGCCGCGCAGCCCTTGCTCCGCCAGTCCCCCCCTCCCTCTGCCCCCTGTTCGCTAGCCTGGTGAACCTCCTGCAGTGTGACGTGCTGCTGGCTGTGGAGGGTGCCGTGCTGCAGTGGGCGATGGAGCCGCGGGGAGGAGGCTGGACCGAGTCCATGCTGCAGAGGGTGAGACAGAGGGATCGTCGGGGGGTTGTGCAATATGCATTGAACCAAGAAAACAGGACATTTGTGATGCAAACGGTTTTGCGTCTTAATCATCAATCATCATCACGATGAGAAATGTCAATAAACTTGTGATGTCTCTCGTGTGGCCGCCGTCTAGGTGCTCCATTTGGTGGGCATGGCTCTGCTGGAGGAGCAGCAACAGCTGGAAAACAGCAATGGCGAGGATGACATCACCTTCCTCTATACCGCCAAAATCACACGTCAGTGCAGAGTCGCATACACACGAACATCTTGACCAGTTAGTTGCTTGCATGCAATGCAACCCGTGTGTTTATTTGTAGGTCCGGGCGATGCGCCGAGTACTTCAGGAAGTGTACTTGCTTTGCTAGAGAGTCTACAGAATGCTCCTCACCTTGAGGTCCACAAAGACATGATCACCTGGATCCTAAAGGTACAAGTCTATTTTTTTTGGCCCACACCTTCCCCGTCATGAAAATTCACATGCATTTGGTCTCCAGATGGTGGCAAACATCAAAACCATTCGAGAACGTTCCTCCTCCGCCTCCGCTGTTACCATCAGCCCAGGACATGGACCCGAAGAGGTCAGGCTCAAACCGCTTTCGCCGTTCAAACACACTTGATAGTTGATGGGTGTGATTGTTGCCTTTTTGCAGACGATACGGGACAAAGACAAGGCAGAGAGGAAGAGGAAGGCTGAGATGGCTCGGCTACGGAGGGAGAAGATCATGGCCCAGATGTCCGAGATGCAGAAACATTTCATCAATGAGAACAAAGAACTTTTCCAGCAAAGTCTAGAAGAGCTCGAAGCGTCCACGTCTGCCGATGCAGAGCATAGGTGTGCAACGATAGCCCGGACAGCTCTGCGACTCACATTGCGCACTAGCTAACAATCATGGATTGCGGCGTTGACGAAATGTGTCCCATGACCTTCTCTCGGACGTTTCGCAGCCCCTCCAGTTCGGAGCCATCCTCCGTCTCTTGGGTCTGCGTTGGCCCCACAAGGGTCGCGAGAGGAGCCGAGCGGCGTCAGCTTGTCACTTGCATCCTGTGTCAGGAGGAGCAGGAGGTCAAATGTCACGGCAGGGCAATGGTATTGGCCGCTTTTGTCCAAAGATCAACCGTTTTGTCCAAAAAACGCTGCCGTGCTTTGCCCAATGCAGGTGTGCTTGACTGCCACTTCTTGATTCAGACGGAAACATACTCGGTCATTGTTCATCATTGATTTTGTTGTTTTTTTTTTTGCATCCTGTGTCAGGAGGAGCAGGAGGTCAAATGTCACGGCAGGGCAATGGTATTGGCCGCTTTTGTCCAAAGATCAACCGTTTTGTCCAAAAAACGCTGCCGTGCTTTGCCCAATGCAGGTGGGCTTGACTGCCACTTCTTGATTCAGATGGAAACATACTCGGTCATTGTTCATAATTGATTTTGTTGTTTTTTTTTTTTTTGTTTGTTTTTTAGAACGACATGACCCTTTGTTCATTCATCCTGACCTTTCAATGGGCATTCACACCACCAGCTGTGGACACATCATGCATGCCACCTGCTGGCAGAGGTGAGAGCCTGGAGGAGTGAGACTGAATTGACCCCAAGTTTAATTTAGGTTCAGGGATTTGTGGGGAAAACACTTCTAATATCTGTTACCTGCAAAGAAAAGTTCGAATTTTGGTACAGGATTTGTCCCTGGATGAAAAGAAGAAACATACCGCAAGGAACGTGAAGTAGACTCCCACATAACGTGATGCGGAGAGGCGGATCTGACGATTTTGATACCTGTGCTACCACTACAGTGTTCATTACTAAGAATTATTTCTGTTTCCTTTATTGAAATTTTGTGACTCCCCGCCTCCTGTCTTTTGCACACGGCGCTATAGGCTCCTTCACCCTCAGTCGTCTTTGCTGTTGGCTTTGCCTGGTCTGCTGAATAGCGGTGAAGAGAATTTTTGAGATCAGGCGCAATTGTTTGACTCTTTTTAAAATTGAGGTTTTGGGGAGTTGTGGATCAGTATGCACACACCAATATGAATCATATTCTTCCATTTGTCTTTCAGTGTTGATCACCCCAGTCTGGCCGTTTGGCTGAAGACAACCAATGAGGAGATTGCAGCGCTGCACTATGCGAACAGAAAGTCTTCAAGCGGTCAGTCCTGTCATGTCAAGTGTAGTCCATCCTGGGTTGCATTGTGGCGGCCATCGCTGGGATGCGAGTTACTGTGTGCAATTGCAGTGATGTCTGCGTGCATTTCCTTCCCAGATGCAACAGAAGAGGTGGAACCTCCAATTCCGGAAGGATTCCGACTTGATTTCACTCCGCTGTGAGCGTAGCATTTATTTTGTCTTTAAGACCGATCAATAGTCATATCAGCTCTCTGTGCACAATGCGCTCGCATTATGAGATCAGTGGCCGTTGGTGTCATTCCTCATTGCGCTCTCTCCATTAGGAACCCCTTTTCGAACAGCATCAATGAGATGATAACCACGTTCAGCATGTCAACCTACAAGGTGGGACTCAAAGCGAACCCGAATGAGCAGGACCACAGAGTCCCTGTGCTGAGTTGGTCCACTTGCGCCTACACAATCCAAGCAATAGGTACACGCACGCACGCACGCAATAAATCAGATCCAATACGCACATTCCCATTCCGCATTCCAACTATGCATCTGTTTACAGAGCGGCTTCTGATGGATGAGGAGAAGCCTTTATTTGGAAGTTTACCCTGCAGACAGGTAATAGTACAGCCAAGCACAGGTAGAATTCATCTTTTTTTTTTTTTTTTAGCCATATGTTTAATACGGGACACGACTGAGGTGTCCTGACATGATTTATCATCAGGGTGCCAAAAGTATGAACCAATTTATTCCCGTCAGGGCTGCAGTCTGTCTTGCCCTAGTTGACCACATAAATTCAGCCAAGCACAGGTAGAATTCAGAAATATTTAGACGGAGCACTATAATCCAGAACTCCAAATTCATTCATGAAGTCGAACAAAACTAACAGCAACCACCGGAATAAATACTGATTCAAAATATTTTCTCTTTTGGTGACTAAAAAGAATATAACTCAGGACTTTTTCTGTCATCAGGTTCTCCAAATGTCAAAGTTGTGTGTAATAATTGAATATTCTTTTCAGTTCAGAACAAGTAGTTGGTCTTGATACTCCTCCTCCATCTGTTGTCTGTATTCTTAGAATTGCTCTAGTTTTTATCCGATCAATGAGGGTCAATTGTAACCATTGTTTCAGGACGACTGCTTGAGCTCCATCGCCAGGTTCAGTTCGGCTTGCTGGACATCAGCTTCGTTGCCTGCAGTGCACGCGCACTTCATCAGATTGTTTGCAGGTACGCACACATTTTTCGGAGTACATACGTTACGGACAGAAAACGACAACAACGAACGACGAGTCATCTTTTTGTACGTGTGCGTTGGTCTCTTTTGCAGTTGTGGTTGCAGACCCTCAGGTAGACAACACTCCAAGCATCCTGGATATTGACATGTTCCACCTTTTGGTGAGTTATATCCACTCGACATCAACTACGGGTCCGCTTGAAGTCCACTTATTATTCCACAGCTTCACACTTGAAATTGTTTTTAGACTATACGTATGTCACGATATATTTCACTCGATAGCAAGGCCCAAGTGATTGTCGGCTTCCAATCGGCATTGGTGCTCAAACTCAAACCGATATCCGTTGCAGGTTTACAGCGTATTGGCCTACACGTCCGTTCACAGTCTGGACCAGTCAGGACGGCATGCGGTCGACTCGGCTCACGTTCACCTCCTTCACCTCATCACTGTGGCTCACCTGGTTCAGGTCCTGCTTACTTCAAACATGGGTACGGCGCGCCGCCGCAAAACAAAATCCACATTTGGTTTTCGCGTAGCCTTATTTACCCGCGGCTCTCCTTTGTAGAGGAGTTGTGTATGGAGCAGGACAGCAAGGGGTCACAGGAGGAGGAGCTCACGTGTCAGCTGTATAACACGCTGAGGAAACACCTGGGCAGGTGAGGTCAAATGCCAGCTGAGATAAATATGCGTCATGTTGAAAAGCGCCGGCTGCTTCTTGTTTTGGGCGCCATTTTGTTTTGTGGCCTCCGTTCATGCTAAAAACAAATCACATACAAAGCGCCCATGCTTCGAATATGGAATTCACTTTGTATCTCACGTGCTTCTCGCTCTAAAAGTCACCGTGTATGTGGGTTTAGCGTTTTACCTGAAGTGGCATCCTGGCAGCTGTGGCGCTGTGTGAAAGCTGGCGTCTCGCCGTTCCTGCGATGTGCCGCTCTCTTCTTTCACTACCTAAACTCGACAGCGCCACCAACCGACCTGCTGGGTAATAGCACAATCACGTTTCCTAACATGTATGAAAGCAGGTTGCTGGTCGTGTGCGGACTTGTCTCCAACCAATTGCAGGGCACTTATAAGACACACAGCCGTTTAAACTCACATTTAAGACTAAGTGCATACATGTGCTCATAAGCTCCATGATTCGGATGTGTACTGTGTGTGTTCGCGTGTGCGTGTGTGTTGTGTAGGTACAGGACCTGGACAATGGGAGGCACTGTGTAGCTACCTCAGCCTGCCCTCGAACCCACTGCAACTCTACCACAACCAACAAACACTGCTCGAGCCACTCATACACAGGTAGTCCTTAATATCTATTGTCAGATTTTTTTTAAATAAAACATATTGATATTATACATAAATATATTCATTTGAATTTATTTCAAGCTAAATCTAAATCATCCAGCTAAACAGAAAGTGTGGGACAACCAAAGTGACTTTCTTTCTCGGAGGGCGGCTGCAATTTTGTTACAGATAAACCATTTGTAGTTAGATTGTTAAAGTCACACATACAATATTGGTTTTAAATTTGAATTTATGAATATGGCGAATAAAAATGAAGAAGGTGTGAGGGGTTTACCGGTGTGATTGGGTGTGTGTGCGCGCGCGTGCTTGCCTGCAGTTGGTGTTGTCACTCATCCGTCAGACCGACATTGCAAGGAGGCGGAGTCAACAGGTTCCCGCGAGAGTCAAACCGTCTGATCGACCTGCCTGAAGATTACAGCGTCCTTATTAACCAGGCATCCAGCTTCACGTCAGTACACAGAACATGTATCTTCATACGTGCTAACGGCGATGTGTCAGTAACGTCTTCTTTTACTTGTACAGGTGCCCTCGGTCAGGAGGAGACAAGTCGCGCGCGCCCACTCTGTGTCTGGTGTGCGGCGCCATGCTGTGCTCGCAGAGTTACTGCTGTCAAACCGAAGTGGACGGCGAGGATGTCGGCGCCTGCACCGCCCACACCTTCACCTGTGGCGCAGGCCTCGGTCTCTTCCTCAGGTAACGCGTCTCCTCACCGCCGACATTTTGGCCCACGTTTTGCAAATGTCTGCTGTGTTTCGTTTTCAGGGTTCGAGAGAGTCAGGTGTTGTTCGTGGCGGGTAAAACGAAGGGCTGCTTCTATCCTCCCCCGTACCTGGATGACTACGGCGAGACAGATCAGGGCCTCAAGTAAGCATTCACCGAGCACGTTCATTTGACATTCTTGAGATCCGGTTTAAGGTCTGGACGAGTACCCTCTTCATGCTCACCAGTTAGAATGACAAGGGCACACGCGTAGGATGACTTTATTACAAGTAAAGGTTTTTCCACGATAAGTGCCACTTTTGGCCTACTAAGACGCAATTACACTTTATTTTTAAACTCCTCTGCTGGACTCGTACGTTTGCTGCGTGCTGACTAGTGGGGGTAAAGAGTGTATTAGCATCATTTGAGGCCGAGGAACGGCGTTGAATTCAGAGGGGAAGATTCATTAAGTCGGTCGAATTGATTTTTTTGAAATGTTGCGTATCCGTCTGTTACAGGCGAGGGAACCCGCTCCATCTCTGCGTGGAGCGTTATAGGAAGATCGAACGTCTGTGGCGTCAGCATGGTATTGCCGAGGTCATAGGTCACGCTCAAGAGGCCAATCAGACACTGGTGGCTATCGACTGGCAACACCTGTGATGTCGAGTTGAAGCCGCGTGATTGGAAAGCAAAACTGGCTGCCTCCCTTTTTTTTTTTGATCCTACTGCTTCAGGTCCCTTCAGCTTGCTGCCAATCAGCGATCAGCTCAGATAAAGCTTTCAGGGATTTGTTTTTGTCTCATCAAAGAGGCAGCAAAAAGAAAAAAAAAAGCATTCTCAAATACATCAGGCTATGATGGTTATTGGTCTGCAACTGTTTTGCTCCGAAATTGATCAGTAGTGATAACGTCTCCATTTTGAAAGCCTTCAACTCTCAGACTGAGAATGTGAACAAACAAGTAGCAGAACATTTACGTTTTTTGCTTTTATCAGACTGGGGCTTTGTATCACTTTTGCAACATATCAAGTGACATATCAGGGCTTTTTTTCTCATCAGCTGATACACTTTTCATGACAGGACTTTTTTTTTTTTTTTCTTGCATCCGGAATTTGCTTGCTGAGAGAACCGTACGGTGTGAATGCTTCCTTTTCCAAGGCTTGGGACTTTTGAGATTTTTTTTTTTTTTTTTGGAAAAGTGAAAAACAGCATTTATTACATTCTGTCATTTTTCCTCTCAAAATGCAGATTTTCTGATGGATTTTCTTTTGCTAGTTTCCTCGCATCTGGACAGCATGTTGCCAAGTCGCTGTGGCTTCATTTATCAAATCTGAATTGTCAATATGTGAATTCTTGTATAAATTAGTATATTATGTACAAAATTGTATAAGAATAGCAAACAATTAAATAAAAAAAAAAAAGAACATAAGAGCAGCCATGTCGTGTGGGTTTCGGATCATCAAGCCAATTTTAGTATAACACAAAGACAACCCAAGTGTTAAAAAAAAAAAAAATTCCATGTCTAAATTGAATTAAGTGAAATGCTATGACAGCTGAATTTTACCCATGAAATGCAAAAATCAATACATGCTTTCCAAGAGTTTAATTTGAGACAACAGTGGCAAACACCGCCTTCACGTCATACAACATAGTCAATGTCAGCAAATGAACATAGATTCGTAGACAGTGCAATAGTGGTACTGTATTGGAGGGATCTGCCTGAGCATTCATTTCAATAAATAATAAAACAACTTTTCAACATTTTCTACATATGTGAATTATCAACACAAAAAATAACAAATAAATTACACTCAAAATGCATGCCGCTGTATTCAGCCCAATGCAAAAATAACCAGACACCACCATTTGTAACTTGGACAAATTTGATCCTTTCCCAAAAGGTTATTTTAATAAATATTTCTTTAACAGCTGATATTGACAAAAATGACAACCATAGTCATTACTGGGGGATTATGCACCCCCGCCCCCCTTGAATATCACTGTTTAATATTCAAGTGTGTGGAAAAATAACACGTTTGTTGTCAAAAGCACAGGAAACTTGCTTGTTACATGCTGCACGGTAATAAATGACACAGTCTCACACATTTGTGACGTGAAACAATGACAGTTTAGCCCAAAAAAAAAAAAAACAAGACTTAACAAAAACATATAAGTGAGCTACATTATTAATAAAAAAGGCCATAAATATCAAAATGCAAAGGCTTCAAAATGAAGGCAGGCTCTCGTGGCCAGTGAACAAACTCAACATTCGGCGGGGAAAGCTTCAAGCGAACCCCTTGAATTAGAATCCAATAGCATAGAAGTAACAGTACAAAAAAATTGGTAGCAAGAAAAAGTGGTAATTGCAACATAATCGTCTTTGCCCTCTTGGGTGTGTCGAGTTTCGTTATTTCGGCCTCCGTGTTAATCATCTGACCACTAAAATCATTTGATTGAAATGAAATTGGACATCTACCAGGCTTTTGTTGAACACGACATGAAGCTACCCTAACTTTGTTCAGACTCGGAATTGGAATACATGTCTTTCTGCTCTAAAATCCACGAAAATTTCTCCCTATTACGTTGAACTGGAAAAAAATTCATTATGTTCCTCTTGCACAAAAACAGTTGAGATCAAAAAGCCCGCATCACTCCCAAGGACACGACCTCCTGAATGTCTTGAGCACCAGCCCACTCAATCGCGGTCAAGATGTCAGCCGAAGATTTTTCAAGATGCTCAACGCTTCCAGATAAGAACACTGCGTCACAGTCAAATTGAGCCGATGGGAATTTGTAAAACGTCAATGCTAAAATGTCTTCCAGGGATTTCGGCGGCAGTCTTGGTGTTCGTGGACTGTTGTTGTCATGGAAAGAATGACAGAGTAGAAGCTTGGAGAAACTTTTGTTGTTATCTAAATGATTACTGGACTCACCAAATCCATTGGAAAATGCTTTTTGGAATATTAAATTTATTGACATTGCATAAAAAAGGGGGCGGGGGATGGCTTTCTTAAATGCTTTGTATATATTCGTGGCTTATCTTTCCATTGGTTCTGACCCACTGCGACTGACTTTTTTTTTAAATACATATATTACTTTGTTCTTGGTCAATTGAAGTGCTCTCCTCTACTCTAACCGTAACGCTAAATGATCTGAATAAAAAAAATCTTTCCTGCTTCTTTTACCGTTACATGAATATATTCCTATTTGATTGTGAACTTGCAATGGTCGCTCCGAGTCTTGGCTTTCAAATAATTCCAGCAAGCAGGCTTTCCCTTCATTTAAATACCAGATGTGATCGTTTCTTTGGCGTCCATGATATCGATCGCGATCCACGCTCTTCATTAGTGCATAACCACCACCGCCGTTCTGTGCAAGTATGTTGGGAGTTACGTCCAGTCAACTACCTGAGCATGTAAACCATGCGCTTGTTACGCTGAAGTCAGGCATTCAATTACTGGCGTTTAAGTATGATTGTTGCGTCTTAAAACAGCATTGAAAAGATCACTTAGAGGAACGGAAGGAAGGACTCCTAAAACAACAGAAACGGTGTCATTTTAAACGAGATGTTAACTGTTAAGTTGGCATCGACAGTTTTTTTTTTTTTAAATATAAGCTATATTTGTTGCTATTAGCATCTGGCTACGTGCATGTTGGCTGCGTGTTTATGATTGAGACCATTGTACATCCCCCCTAACACTAACGTAGCTCTGCCGTGACGCCCCGAACGCCCGCTTCCCGTCACAAAGACTCTCAAATGTGCGACGAATACACAGTACCATAACATTCATTTGACATACGTATATCCACATCACCGACAGCTTTGCTCATCTCTGCACAATCACAGAATCCAGGATGCGTCCGTCCGTCACGTTGACGCCTTTAGGGTCAATGTTCCATGAAGACGTTTTGCCCTCTTCGGTGGACTCGCGCGTCTCACTCCAGACCAAACGTGCTGGTTTCCTCCACGGCCGTCAGCAGTTTCTCGTACAACATTGTGTACGAAGGATATGGAGGCAGGTCAAGACGGTTAAAACACGTATGGGCCCTGACAATGGAAAAATATGGTCATCGATGGAAGGTATGGTAGGAAATTACAACGTGCTTTGCTGTCATTGCTGCAAGTCTCTTTTGGCTACTTTTAATTCCGTTGCTTCAATTTTAAATGTCTTTTACTCTTTTGTTTGTAACTGCTTCTCAGGGTTGTACTTTGAGTTATATGAGAACCTCGTGTATGAAGTGCGCTATATGAAGACAAGCGGCGTCTGCCTTGCCTACAGATATGCTGCCCGAAACTTAACATGTAGGTTGTAGGATCTTAAGAACATCTCGTGGCCGTTGAAAATATTTCCGCTTGATGACGTGATGAAAAGCACGTGTATATTTTCACATAAATTCCACACCCTCCTAATAACTGCAAGGAGCAACAATCCTCGACTCTATGGGTGTCATGTTTTTATTTAGGTTACAATTGGTTTTGTTCCCTTGTGCCTTTTATTGTCTCCACCTGTTCTCGTCATCCGGGTGCCTTGCGTTAACCAATCAGCTCCCTCAACACTTTGTGTCTCGTCCAGGTGTTTCTCGTTGTCTCGTCACTTTGCTTGTATTTAGTTCCCTGGGTTCTGTCAGTTGACGTCACATCATTGTGCTCCTGTCACGTGTGTGCTGCTGTCATAGTTTTGTTTTCTGTCGTTTTTTTTTTGCAATGTTGGTTTCTTGTGATTTTTCAGGACTTTGTTTGTGATTTTGATTTGTTTTTTCCAGTGTACCTCTACAAGTGTTTTTTGTTAATACACTTTGTTCAAGCACTTCAGTTTGTTTTTTTTTTTTCCTAAAAAAAAAATACATGTTATTCTTCATACACTTTGTTCAAGCACTTCAGTTTGTTTTTTTTCCTAACCCCCCAAATACATGTTATTCTTTATTACCTTGGTAGAGAGGTAACTTTGCCCCACTTCTCAATGCAGAAGCGTCGCAGGCCGTTAGATCCGCGCAAGGAAGCAAAGCCTTCGTATGGCACACTGGACGTCCCCGTGACAAACTGGAGTAGGCGGAGGCGCTGCTCATTGTTGAAACGCTCCACAGCGGCCCAGAACCACCGCATCACTATGTGGCCATCATGGTAACCTAGTGAGCGGCATCATGAAGGGAGCGTATTATGGAAAAATAATTTCTTTTTAAAAATAGAAATAGTTGGGTTAATACGAAATTATCTGGAGAAAAAAACCACACACGTACCCCCTCTATACTCTGTATTGCTCCTCCAATCGCCCAGGTCAATCTCCACAGTACCGGCGATAACCAGCTCCAGCTCTCGGGCATCAAACACTGACACCAGCCTGGAGTCGACCACCTATGATAGAAAACCACCCCCCCCCCCCCAAAAAAAAATCCATTCTTTTGATGGTGTCATTTATCACATAGTCAAAAAGCTGAACCAGTGTTTACCTCATAGAAGCCTCTGACCAGTGCCTCTGTCTGTTGCACCACTCCTCTTTCCACCCGCCATTTCGTCATTCGCTCGATGTAATCCTTTTTGTTCTTCTCAGTCACTTGCAGGTTGGAGCCTCCGGACTTCAACTCTCGTTCCGTTACCTAGCAACAGCATTGGAAGTAACAAAAAAAACACAATTAACATCAATGGATTTTTGCCGTACTGCAGTGCAGGCAGGCATTATTACTAATCATTTATAGTTTGATGACTTAATGGTGTTTCAGAAAAGTGCTGGTGCATGTAATTGTTTGCCCATGCGTGATGTCAAGCTTGCTATGGAGTTATTTAGACAAGTATGATAGCTATTACTATTGGTGAGCCCATACGAAGGTAGTTTGTTTGTATTGATTTATTGAACTCCTGAATATGGCCGCCTATGTAACATGGGTTTATGATTGTGTACATGCTAGAATTGCAGGATGTTGATGCTGTGTCTGCGGCGCTTTGCCACAAATTTTGCGGTTTGATTATATTCATGATAATAAACAATTAAGTAAACCTTTTTGTGTGTACACTCACCTGGCCAAAGACCTCCTCATTCACAGTGAATGTGAGGTCTAGGATGTCCGTGATGTCATTGTCTTTCATCCACTGTAGAGACTGGTGGAACTCCTCATCCAGATATTCCAAATCAGAAAGGTCTGTTGGGCTGTAAGATCCAAAGTTCACCGGCATTATCCACAATACCTTCCACTGCAAATTTCACTGCAAAAGTACTTATGATTGAATATGCTCACAGCCTGAGGAGGGCCTTGTAGAAAGGTCTGGTGAAGAAAGCATCAAGGAGGTACTGATGAATCAGAGCCAGACCCAGTATGCGACCGCTGAAACGGAACCTGGACAGTGGACAGAAACCTTTACAAGTGCAACATGAAATGTATGTTGAGTCGATGTTGCCTCCACGAACCAACTTACCATTCCAGATGGTTCTCAACAAATGCAGACATGGGGCTGATTTGAACAGTGTAAGTGTCATTGGCCGAGTATTCAAAAAGGCCATAGTATGGATTAAACAACTCCTGAGACAAAAGGAAGAAAAACTCTCTGGAGGGTCCACTGTAATCTAACCTGAAACGAGGAGAATGCAGGGAGGAAACCTATTAGTGCTCCAATTTGTCCGTTTATACTGTAAGAAACTCAAAAATGTCATGCATTTCCTACTATGACAACCATTTCGTTACTTTTCTGTCTATAATAAATTCTTTTTCTACAAAGTTAAACAGAACGGAACTGAACTAAAGCTGTGATTCCTTCACGTACCACTCGAGGGAGCTGATGCACGACTTGCGGTAAATCAACCGCGCTTTGAAAATGACCGTCTAAAGAGTATGTGCGTCTATGCTTACTTTTCTGTCTATAATAAATTCTTTTTCTACAAAGTTAAACAGAACGGAACTGAACTAAAGCTGTGATTCCTTCACGTACCACTCGAGGGAGCTGCTGCACGACTTGCGGTAAATCAACCGCGCTTTGAGAATGACAAGTCTAAAGAGTATGTGCGTCTATGTGTCTACGCGTGTCTCACCCCTCCTCCCCCAGGAAGGTGACGTAGAGTTTGTTCCTCTGTAGCTCTTTGCGGGAATACGCCATCACCTGGTTGAAGGTGCCCTCTAGCAAGTGTTCTCGTCTTATCAGTAGTCTGCAATCATGAGAAGGTCATGACATTCACCACACTGAGGAACAGAAGTGACCGTAGAGCGTAAATGAGGATTGCTCTCTGTGTTTGTAGGTCTCATAAGAGTCTTACTTAATCTTGCCCGGTCCCTGGCCGTAGCCCTTGGCTTCTAATTTTCTGTAGAAGTTTCTGAGCTTAGCCTCAAAGTCTCTCCGGTAAGGAGCCGGAGCCCTGGCTCTCTGCAAGCCTGCACAGAGACAGGAAACACAGCAAAAGATGACATCATCAACTGGAGTACCGTAATTTTCAGACGACCTTTCCCAACCCTTTCATTAGCCTCGAAGAGTGGCACATATTCAGTGTCACTATTCGTTATTATTATGAATAAAGACATCCCTGCGTTGACCTACTTTCCTTTTATAGAACCTCGCGTTACTAACATGTCGACCCCAGCACAGAAGCAATCACAGCAGCCCCCCCGAGGTCTTCCTCGAGCTCATTTTAGATCACATTTGTGCTACCTAGCATTGCACAGCGAGTTCTATCAAATAGTAATGATTGCCACTCTGGGCTCTGTGTATGCGTGTGTGTGGGTGTGTGTGTGTGTCGCAAAATCCGCCGAGTACTTTACTAACAGGGTCGAGCATGTGTACATTTCACTTGCAGGTGATTGCATGTGCCTGACGCAGCCAGATAAGTCCCATTAGCAGGTGGAGGATACGTGCCAAAGATTTAGGAATAATTCAAACCATCGTGCTTATGATTGCCACGGCAGTTGTTGCTATAGCTTGGATGCATGTCCATCTGTTCATATATTTCAGTTCTTTTCCCTTCACTTGCTGTTCTCTAACAAGAAGCCAAACTCACAACAGGCGTTTGATCCATGAATCGACCTACCGGGAGAGTTTTGCGGCGAGTTGCCGGGGGAACAGCGTGGCGAGAAGCTAAAGCCAGGATGGATCGGGTGGGGCGGAATATACGACATAATCTCCTCTTCAAACAAACTGCGAGGGGAAAAAAAACAAGATACAAAATGCATGGAGCGTCTTTCATTCTGTTTTCACGCTATCGCAGTAAAACCAACCACATGCGGAGTTGTGTACCTTAACAGGATGACCAGATCTGCATCGCACGAAAGCTTCTCGACACCCTGAGTACCTTCAGACCGCAGGTAATGGATCTTTTCCCTGCAATGTAAATCAAGACAATAGCCTCCATTTGAAAATGCACAACATAACATTTGGGACACACAAAAATGGTGACAGACAAATACTGAAAATCTGCGATTGGATAATGCCCCCTAAAAAGGCTGACGGTTGCCACAAGATGGCTGAAAAGCAGTGTTTTGTTCTCAAAGAAGCTCCTCACCTCTTTTCAACATAGTTACTCGGCACCAAGATGCCATTTTGCTTTGCCATGAGCACAAACACAAAGAAAACGAATGGACGCTTTTCAGGAAATAATAGATGATAGTTTTTGGGGAAAAAAAAAAATCAATCAGCAAATATGTGTATTTGCAAATGCGGAATTGCAAACATATGGCAGGTGAGTGTACTAAATAAACCTACCTGAGTGCATAGTTTCTGTTCAGGTTGGGTTGCCGCTCCTGCAACATGTCAAATATGTTTGGTTGTCGAAGGAAAGCCACAATCTTGTCATTATACGCTAGAAAGAACAGGAGAACAGAAAATATGGTGAACGGCTTTCCATATATACTCTTTTCGCTCCAAAAATAGAGAACGTTAGGGCGGTGCTCACATGCAGCGTTGGACTGATGTGGGTCAGCATGATGCTGGCTTCGTATGGCAGCAACCAGGCTGTTCGCAGGCCTGGCCATCAGAGAAGCGCCGCGACTCCTTGATACGTCGGACGCCTACAAAAAATACAAGTGGAAAAATAAAATGTTTCATCATGAGATCAAACACGAGGATTTTTTGCTTGAATCCCACAGGCTGTTTTTTTTTGGTGATCTTTTTTTTTGTGTCTGTGACCTCCACAATTCTTTTTTTGTTATTATTTATAGTCGTGGAGGTCGGTGCTCGACTTGAGTGCTCAAACTGTCCAGTTCATCCACTACTGTATAATACTTATTTAATAGTGCACCTCTCCTGCACTGTAGCTGCGTAGCCTCTGCAAATGCTGCCTGTGGGCAAGGTGGCCTGGTAGCCGGCCATTCTGAAGAGGGATTCGAGGGTCGATGAAGGTTGTGGCTCGACTGTTGTGATCCACAAAGAAAGACTGCAAGACAGACGGCAATAAACTTTCAGACAGTGTCGTCATCAGAAACGTTATCGATTGACTATACAGTCGTTTCAAGACAAGTCCCCGAGATTAAAGCGTCCTACCTTGCCCTGCGGGTCAGTCTTGATCTCCCAGCCCCTTGGCAACTCCAGCTGAGTGTCGGCAAATTTGTTGAGGAAGACCACGAGGTCCCGGTTATGTTGGTAGCGCTCAAAGTTTTTGGCATCACGGCGCACCTTCAGGATCATGTGTTTAACGCAGCTGCTGCCGGTAAACATCCGATATGCTGGCTGGGAAGGAGAGAGGAAAAAGATTGGGGTAAAAATGGTAGAATACATTTACTTTAGGTCTTTCGACTTGAGGAATCATGACAAATACTACGTTTTGGAAGTCTCAGACACTCACATAGTTACTATGCAACATAGTGAAAAATTCCGGATGCGTAATGAACTTGACAGCCGGTGACTGGAGTAGCTGGCTGATCTTCTGGTGACTGACAGGCGATGCTGGCCCTTGTGGACACAAAGAACAATCATTTTGAAGTGAATGCAACATTGTAGGGTTGTCCCAGAAGTGACCAAAGACGTCAACAATACAGGAATAAAAACTGCATGTTCAAATGTAAGCGAGGACGAGGAGCTGACCCGTCGCAGTTGGAGGAGCATCCGAGTCTGTCTCAGCACTGGGAGTTCGCTCTAAGCGCTGACTGCCTCCTTCCTCGTCAGTGGCCATGGTTCTCTGGATGCTCTGGTACCTGCCAAAATCCATTTCCGTTAGTAGACGGCCGCCTCATTCAAAAAGAGGCTCGGTCTTAGAGGACACGTAGTTGGGTTTCAACACCAACATGCGGAATGGAGCTCTCTTATGCTAGCCTATGTGCATGCAGTGGTAAAGCCTGCTCGGACGAGGGGCGAAACGTCTTTTGAGAAAACCAGAACAGTCCAGTTGCGACTGATTCAAGGCCCCGAGAGCCAAACGATCTGGATGAATGGTCATGGTCACATGCCCGTTCTCAATCACAGTGAAGCTATGATGTCAAGAGTGAAATGACCCCACATTCCTTGCGTATTTCGTCTGACCTCCTGTTGAGCTGCTCCATCTGTTGACTGGATCCTGATCGGGGAATCCCATGGCTACACTTGCCACCGTGACTCGGTCGCTGCCAGGTCGTGGTGCGGTTGACATGGTCGACGTAGAACACTCTGCCATGGCTGTCTATACGAGCTTCCCAGTCTGAGCCACGGGAGACAAAAATCATGAGCTTGAGACAACATTGGCGACAAATTCTCTGCTTGCTCCGTTTGTATATGTCGCTGCTCTGCGAGTGTATTACAGAAGTTCCACGAAAATTACAGTCTGTGGTTTGGTTGAACATTTTGAAATTTGGCAGTGGGGGAGAAGGGTCGAGCCCCGTCACTGGACGGGGGGGGGAGGGAGTCATGGCGGCAAACACAAAAGGAATGACGTGGTTGAACACAAAAGGACACACATGCACACACACACGGGTGCAAACCAAGCTGCCGGCATATGACTCCAGAGTAAGTAGTGTCGGGGCTTACTTGGAGGTAAGGCTTGGTCAGTGGCAGCAGGAAAATGGTTTAAGTCAAGGCTGGGAAGAAGGACTGGAGGATGGCCAACGGGAGGTGAGAAGCCTGAGCCTACAGGAGACAGTTGGGAACACGTTACACCATGAGGGCGGGTTGGGGGTGGGGGTGGGTTGGGGGGGGGCACAAGCGACATTCGTTTCAGTCCAATCGTGTCAAGCGTGTCTGAAATAAAATGCCTCATGTGTGAAGCGTTGAGCCTAATAATAAAATGTGATAGTGAAACACACTATCAACCAACCAGACATTGGGACATAAAGATGAAAAACAAGCAATTTAAAAATTGCATGACAAAAACCCTCGTCTGTTTTCTTCCCTTTTCACTCATCCGTTCCACTGTAACATGGAAATTATTTTCCAGCACTTTGCCAATCAACAAATGGTCTGTCAAGCTTACACCGGAGTACACAAATGAAGTGAAATGTGCCACCGAGACAGGTACTGTCCACCTTCCTGCCAGAGGCTGCGGAAATGTGGGTTGGATAATTTGGGAGCGTTACAGTGGAGAACCTTATTGCCGGGTGGAGATGGGTGACCCTCATCATTGGTTGCCATGGCCACCAAATAATGAGAGCAAATATCAGAAGACGATGACACAGTGGGACGTGCAGCAAACGTTGGGAGGACAACACGCTCGTGCAGACAGACACGTCAAGGCGCCGCTGTTATCTGTGGAATCACTGTCGCTCCTAATTAGGACAACCGTTCCCTCCATCAATCAATTGGGCTGTTGAGAAATTCTGTTGACCCATTTCTATATTTTTTCATCAGATGCTAATTCACGCTCATTTAGAATTAACTATACCAAATCAGTTTAACCACCACTGACGCTCCAGATGAGACAAATTGGGAGTTAAATTGTAATAAATACAAAGTGGTTCAGTCATTCTTATTATTTCGTTAAATATTTCAAAAACAATGATGATTGGTTCGTTTTCCATCTCTTACCAGTGCTGTTGGTGTCCCGCGACTCAGCTCCCCCGGCTGATTCTCCACACTCCTCACTCCTGGCCTCATTCAATCTTCCACTCCTCTCTCCACCAGCCCCACCCACTTCGTGGCCCTCGGGACAGTTGTTTGCATCTGGTCCCGACTCAAAAGTGCTCTCATCCTCCTCTTCGTCCTGAGAGGAGAACACTGTGCTGCCGGAGAGTCGGTTGCTCTCCACAGAGGATAGCCGGGTATGGCTGCAGAAGCGGCCCCTGCCCTCGTGGCCCGAGTTGCTGTAGCATGATGTGCTGTAACAGGAAGTGCTGTAGCAAGACGTGCTGTAGCAGGAAGTGTCACAAAACTCGCACTCATTTTCACCGCGGGCCCGATGGCTGCTCCCTGTATTTCTTTTCCCAACTCCGCTACTGGAATCCCCCTCGTCGCTTTCCAGGTAAGAGAGAGAGATCCGTCTGACTGCTGCGTGCACTCCACCTCCTCCGTCACCTTCCAGGAGCTGGTTTAGTTCAGACAGACGTTCAATGGAGAGGCTGCGTGGGAGCGTGCGACAGCAGCACGGACCCGGGCACTCTGGGACCTGAAAGGACATTTCTGTTCTGTATTACCAAAAAAAATAAAAAATAAAATGCATTTCAAGGAGCATCAGATTTTCACTAATGGCAGGCCGGTCCAGGCCCTATGCCCCATGAATAGTGAGTTTTTGTGTAATATCACCATTCACCACTAGATGGCAGACATGATTTGGATGTATGTGCACCGGGTTTTATGCTGCCCTATACTAAAATGTTAGTCGGCCTTATGCTTTTTTTTTAATTCTTCAAATCCTTTGTTTTTGAAGGCTGAGCCTTTTATATATCCATGATGAACAATGAAGTATATTCAGACCACTTTGCACATATGCATGTATTTTGTCCATATTTAAAATGGCTTTTGGTTCGGAAATGCGTTGTCCTATGTGACCCCCCCCAATGTAGCACTGATGAACTGACTGAGAATCCTTCTTTAGACTCGAACAAGTCCTACCTGAGAGGGTGACTGCGTTATCTCATCCTCATCTTCCAGGCCCTCCTCCTCTTTGTCTTTGGAGTTTTTCAGCGTTGGTGATGTGGAGGTGTTGTCCTGAGTTGTGCTTGTGTTCTCTCCCTCTTCCATATCTTCCTCCTCCTGGCTCAGCGCTCGATGCTGTGCCGAGGGGAGACTGTGGAGGAGATGGTGAATGCGGATGTAGTGCGATCGGGGCGTCTCCGGCTCGCCGCAGGCTGAGGCGATCACGTTCTCCAGCTCCGACACCGGCAGGGAGCAAGGTCGAGTTTTACGCCGGAGGGGACCTTGAGAATCGTAGTTTGCAAAGAGGCAGGCGCAGGGACCGTTGCTGCTTCCTCCTCCCGGTGATGCTTCAGTTGTTTCTGTGACTAAATCTTGGGATATGTCGTTGGCCTCTGCAGTCACCGCATCGTTTGGACTTACGACAGTAGTTTCAGTTTGTGCATCTGATTCGTCTTTCTTGTCATTTTCTTCTCCTGTTATACCCTCCTCCGCTTGTGGTGTATTCTCTTCTGTCTGTGCTTCCTCTTGCTCCCGCTCCCCCTCTTCTGATTCTCCCCCCACTAGCGTACTTACAGTCTGGTCTACCTGAGGCTCAGTCGCAGCTGGTTCCTCTCTCCCTGCGCTCTCGTCCTCCATAGTGCCTTCTTCTACATCTGGAGATGCCTGCAGCTCCGCAGTCTCACTGGGTCGGGTCACCTCGGCCGTGGAGGCCGGGGCAATCGGGGTCTCGGGGTCAGGCGGGCCATCCAAAGGGAGGTCGGGCATATCGTGTCCGACACTTAATGTATCATCATCGGGTGCATCAGCGGCGTTGTTGGCGTCTACGTTGACGCTTCCTTCGGGGCAGGCTGATTCAATGACCAACGAAACTTCCTCATCATCTGGCAAGAGAGCAGCAGTACTGTAAATTTACTTGTAAAAATATCTCAACACAGAAGCGTTTATGGCTGCACCGCCGGCAACAAAAGTGAGTGCACCCCGAGGTGAAACTGGCAATCCCGATTCATTTATTTTGGATCAATCATCCTTCCATTTTCTGAACCACTTAGCTTCACTAGGGAATTTTATACTCATTTTCTGGTGTTGTTTGACTTGAAATATTTGTTTTCAGCTACAAAAAAAAGAAAAAAACTTTCAGAATAATGCATTTCATTTGATGTTTCTGTCTGTTTACTCACACAGAGAATGTCCCGCTTTGTGTTGCCCCGAAACAAGCAAACAAAGGACAACAGATAGACGCTGGCAAAGATGAGAGATGAGAAAACACTTGATGAGTGTTGTTGTTGTTGTTACACTCTTGAAGTTTCATGCTGTGGTCTCGTGTACGATCAGTCCACTTCACAGCCTGCATTTTCTCATCTCTCAAGAGCCCAAACAGCCCAAAACAAACACGTAGACCACGGGGTGTTGTTTGACTTGAAATATTTGTTTTCAGCTACAAAAAAAAGAAAAAAACTTTCAGAATAATGCATTTCATTTGATGTTTCTGTCTGTTTACTCACACAGAGAATGTCCCGCTTTGTGTTGCCCCGAAACAAGCAAACAAAGCACAACAGATAGACAAGATGAGAGATGAGAAAACACTTGATGAGTGTTGTTGTTGTTGTTACACTCTTCAAGTTTCATGCTGTGGTCTCGCGTACGATCAGTCCACTTCACAGTATGCATTTTCTCATCTCTCAAGAGCCCAAACAGTCCAAAACAAACACATAGACCACGGAGACTGACCCCATGCAGGGTGAGCCATAATGCTGTGATATTTGAACCAAAAGCCGTCCGCTCGGTGCTGAACTAGCTAAAAGAAGCACTCTAATTGTGCAAGAAAATACCAGGGCTAGCTCACATGACGGATTCTATTGCCTTTCATCGGGTTCGCTGCCAACGATGCGATACAAAATAAATAAAACATAGGTCTGAGATCATAGGAATAGATCTGACAACAGAACATTTGGCTGGTATAAGCGTCTGGCAGTCATGAATAAGCCGTTCGCCATAAAGGGGCTGAGCAGAAACGCAAACATGTATTTAGCACACCGACTGGTTATTTGCACTTCATTCAGATCCCTGCGTCGACAAACCGCAATTTGATGAAAAACACGCTTTGTTTGATTGACTGTTAAAGTTAGCCTGACAGCCAGCAGTCCGATTTTTGACAGCAAGGCACCATCTGTAATACTATTATTGGATAGCGCTATGCACACGGCGTAAGTGCAGACCACATTCTTGTCAAGGGGGATGGCGGGGGGGCTAATAGAACATCACAGAGTGACATGAAGTACCTGGATGAATTGAGGAGGTGAGCTCAAAGCGGAATTGTAAGTGTCCACACACATGATCTGTTGGCAGCCTGCGACCCAGAGAGTAACTAACAACTCGGTCCCTGTTGACGACAAAATCGAAAGTCACCAACGTCGACAAAGCAGTTTCATACTTTCAAATCATTCGCCAGCATCGTGGTAGGGATTGTTTTAAACGTTGAAGATTCTGACATTTCCATGAAAAAACATTTTCAACCGGTTAAAAAAAAAAAGTATTTTTACCCAATGGCATGTTTCTCCAGCAGCCTCTGGACAGGGACGGACAGCTTCCCGAGGAAGCGTTTGATGATAGGCCGACTTTTGGCAAATTTGTCTTTCACCTCGATCTCCAGAACATCGGTGGGTAACGACAAAAAGTTAAATCTCTGGAGAAACGGGAAAAACAAAGAAAAGTGCCTGGTCACCATGAGATCGTTCGGCGTCGTTGGATTTTGAGGGCCACTGTGATAGTGATACTAGTTTAGCTCGCCTGATGCGGTTTGTGTAGCTGGATGGATGCGAATCGAGAGACATCAGGGCCACAAAAGGGGGAACTCGATGACAGAAGACAAGAGACTCAAGTTGAAATATGCGTTTTAAAGGACATTGGCGGAAAAAATGAAGCAATCCTGCGAAGACGGGTTGCGCTGGGAGAACAAATCGGGGTGATATAGGAGGAAGATAAAAACAAGTGAATAATTTAAAAGTATGAACCGACGAGGGAGCAGACGGCTGCTTGTGTGTTTGTGTGAGATGGTTGAGGGACGAACTCGATAAACGAGGACGGGGAGAGGCTTGAACGAAGAGGGTGCGTGCTGAAAGTGCTCGTCTGCGTGGAGGAAGAGTCTCTCTCATCGGCATTGACTTTTTTTTTCCTTTCGCTTATTTACACTACCGAAGCACCCGTATCTCACCGAGCGGTGAATGCTTGCGAACATTGCGGATTTTGGGTTTCGTCAGGGTTGATCAAAGGTTGCAAAGGTGTTCACAGTTTTAACTTGGCGCCAACAGTTTTTCTTGTCGCGAGGACATGTTGAACACGTTCAAAATGGCCAGACAGGTACAATTTAGCGGCTTTGTGTCGACGTGCTGCCTCCAAGAGTGAAAATAGACAAAACGAGATAGAAATGTACAGAGAGTGAAATGAGTCAAAGAACATATCTTTTCCTGAGAACGCTTTGGGCACTAATGCCACTTTGCGCATCTGCAAAACACAGCCTGAATGCTTCCTCTCCTCTAGCAGCACTCAGCATGTTCTCCACTTACTAAGCACACACAGCACTTTCACTTCTAGCATCTGTGAGGCATGAACGTCCTTCGAAGTGGCCCCGTGTTTGGCAGGCACCTCAAGTCAAAGCGTTGCGCGTACCTCTAAATTCCATTGAGGGTTGACCGTGTTGCAGACAACGGCGGAGCGTTTCTCCTGACCGTGATGTGGCAAGGAAGGGAAGATGCTGTGCTTCCCGGGCTGAATGGACAGCTTGAGGTACGGGTCCGGATTAAAGAACATCCCCTTCTTCAAACCAACCGCTTGGAGGTCTACGGCGGCGGGGATGTCGGTCAGTGGAGGGTGGGAGAGGAAGAATAATACAAAAGGTGATTATGATTCATCCAAAGCAGTTTGAAACCAAAATAAATTGAAGGGCTGCATTTTCGTTCCCACTCGATGTTGACACGGCAAGGGCCGAATCACATCAACTGGAACCGATGCGCCTCCGACGAACACTACAAATGAAGAGACCCTGATTGGAGTCACGAGAACAAGTGCATTGACGCGACAAATGGGCGATGTCGATATAAGGGCAGGGTGGTTGCTTGGAGAAAGAAAGCGTCCGTGAGTCACACTGATTCGAGGGCACTGGAGGCGAGTGTGAAGAGGCGCAGGTTGATTTCCTACCTGACAGTGAAAAGTTAATGAGTCTCCTGTTGCCTCGCCCTTGGTTGACCTCGGGACTAACCACTGGCTTCAACACCTGCAGAAGCGAACCAAACACACACCCACGCACACACACACACACGCACACTAGTAAAAATCAGTTTGAACTTTAACCACACCTCCAGGAACACTTTTATTGTAATGAAGCTCCTCAACTCACTTCAAGATGCCACACAAAGGAGCACAAAAAGCATAAAAAAAAATACAACATCAGGATGAGTCCCCCAGACAATCATAAACAGGGGAATTTGTGAATGCCGAATCAGGAATATGTACTGTATGTATGTATTCGTGTATCTAATCACGCTATGTAATAAAGGGGTGCTTGTCAAAAAAAATCCATCTATTCTTAAAAGCATTTTTTTTTTTCTGGGAGAAGCTGATCAACAGAAGCCGATGAGCAGCTTGTGCAAGTACTGTGTAAGATACTGCAATTGATTCGGTTTGATTTGATGGAGTTTCTCTTCTTGTCACAAATTTGAAATGATCTCTTCTCGGAGAAGCGGAGCAAGGCTCGTTCCCAGCCTGGCTGACGGAGTTCCGTGATCAATACACTGCCTTCATTATTCTGACACAGTGCAGTGAGGAGGAAAAGAAATGGGGGAGGTAGAGTGGGGGGGGAAGCGTCAGTGTCATCAATGGAGAGAGCAGGAGGCGGAGACTTTCAAAGTACGGAGTGAATTTCAGGAATTTACCGGAATCCGATGTGACAGAATGAGTCAGACTTCTGAAAAGTTTAATTCCCAAAATCAAAATGCTTCATGTGTTTTGAAGGCTTATGCAAGTGCCCGGAAGCAAAAAAAAAAACAAAACAAAACAAGGCAGCAGTGTAAACAAAAGGATTAGTCAAAGACAGATGTTTGGAGCAATTTCCTCTAATGAGATGCTAATCTGAATTGGCTACTACAGACCGAAAGAAAAGCGCCAGCGCAGATGTCCCTTATTCAGATTTTTATCGGACAAATAAATGATGTTCATTCTATCTGCACCACTTGGTATCCATAGATGATCAACCGTCGGGTGGGAGTTTAATAAATGTAAAGGGCGGCAGAATGTCGTCAATGATTACTACAGACAAACTTGATGAGTCGGAAGGGGGAGGGGCATGTTTATCAGCTTTACATACACAGCGGCTCAGACATCAATGTCCTGGTTGTGTTATTTTTCCATTTCTTGAATGCATCCTGATGCTTTCGGGACAGCGAGGTTGCGGATGAAGTAAGACAAAGAAGGGCAGGGGGAGGTGATGACGGCTGACTTGCTGTGATTTCATGTGGGGCTCTCTCTGCAAGCCATGTCATGTCTCATGGTGTTTCGAATATGGTGCTGGGCGAAGAATCGTGACGTTCATCTGACATTCATGAGCAAAAGCCATTAGGAGAAAATCAATCAAGCAGAAAAGTAATCAAAATCACAAGACTGGACATGATTGCATAAGAGTTACATCGTGGATCTGTGTGGTCTCAAAAGGATTTCAGGAAGCTCTTATTTTGCTTCACGAAAATGGTTTAAAATGACTTTGGTTTTATTGCAACTGCTCTTTTAACAAATACAAATACATTGATTTATTTTTTTTGACGCTTTTTGTTCGTGTTGAGCCGCAACAGCAGCGCAAACTCAGTACGTGCCGGCAGCGCCTGAAAGTAGCAGCTCTGAAAACTTTTTTTCCTTGCTCCAAGGCTCCCCACAAAGTTAAGAAACATAATTTAACTTGGAAGCCTTTCAGCTAATTCCAAATCGACAATACAAGGGCAAGGATTGATACCAAGCTCGTAAACATGCGATGCAGGCATGAACACTAACAAACACGTCAAAAATGTATCTACCGGTACTCCTTTCATCATGCAGAAACAATCGAGTACACACTGTATACAATTCAGACTCATGACTTTACGAGGCGGTTCCGGTCCACAGAAACCAGAGCTTTACCCAAGCTATCCAGCAGAGCCTCATCCGCTTTCTGCTGCTCCTTCCATGACGACTGGGAGGTAGCAGCCCCAGCTGTAGACACATGCAGTCCATCACTGGCATATATCGATGCGCGTCTCTTCCTGCAGCAGTTTGGCCGGTGTGACCAGTTGGAGTAAAGCAGCCCTACACACTCTCCAGCCTACCTAGACCGGATTGTCCTCCGTTATCTTGACTCCACCCTGCCGTGCTCCTATGGGTGGTTATTTTTATTCCTTTGTGCTGAAGAAGTGAGTAAAGATCAAGTTCTCATGCCATCAGCATTTTCAAAGTGCCCGTAGCAGCAGATTGAAAAGGCACACACGGAAATACAATCCCATCTCGCACCCCGGGCCCTCACTGAGAAACATTTTGGCCTTTGTTATATCGGTGCAACATATTAAAATGTTGATACTATTCCCATCTTTTAGTCCAGCTTGTGACAACTTCAAGAAAATGTCAGAAACGGTGCTTGCATCTCAGGCCATCACGATACGCTTTGTCATGGAGATATGTTGCACATACAGCACATTTGACAACAAAGTTGTTCTTGACTTGACTTGATCCCAACACGAGACTACACTGACGGCAAGGCCTCAAAATTGAAGTGAGTAGGTCTGATCATCGCCAGCTAAGAAATGGGAGTTTGCTTGATGCGGGCGGATGCACTGAGGCTCCAAGTAAGATTCAATCCGAAGATAAAAAGGGATCTGAAGTCAGTGTCGAAAATCGATGCCACGTTTGGAGAAGAACTTTGTCGATCACGGCAAAGGCTAGCAAAAAAAAAAAAAAAAAAGTCGAACTCTCAAGAGGATAAAATGTTGCAGTGACTAAAAAAACAAATCATAGTTACAATGTCTGTATTAACACAATATTGCTCTGACTGAAAAAAAGAAAAAAAAGAAAAGCATAGGTGGATTTCTGCATTCGCAATGGATGCACCATTCACGTCTGCCTTGGAAAAAAAAAAATGCTCCGAAGCTCACAAAGGTTAAACACACTCCCTCGGGCGTCTGCCGCACACACAGAGCAACCGATATGATTAGCTGTCTAAGCGACAAGGACGTGATCTTTCACCGGCAAACACTCCCAGCCGTGCCGCATAGAAGGTTCCGCGGCAAAAGCTGGCGGCGCAACTTGTCGCAGAGTAAACACGGCAGTGGTGGATGAGTGATTCCTCCGCTCGCTTCTCTCATTATCAATGTGTGCAGTATGTAAGCACCGATGATAAACAACGTAACGGCAGCATAAATCTGGAAACGTACTGCCGCAACTCTTAAAGAGAGCGGCGTTAATAATCAAGCTATGACTTCAAAGTCAAACTCACAGTCACTGGTCCCTTTTTGATGGTTAGACTGGGTGTGGTTGCCCTCAGCGCTCCAGTGACGCCATGATAGTACTTGAAGCAGACCAGAGTCTCAGCTGTGGGCAGAACATGGCAGAGATAGAAAAAAAAAAGGTTTAATTCAATTAAACTGAAAAAAATAAAATGAACCCAGAAACAATCTTTAGTTTTTGATTTTCCTGACTGACAAGAAGTTGATGGGAACTTACAGTCGCTGAAGTGAGAGCTGCAGTCAATTTTCCAAACGATTTGTCCTTTGTGAGATCCATTGATGCCTCGGTTCTTATAATCCAGAAAGTTCTCAGATAAAGGCTCATCTAGAAAAAGAGAAAAAAACCCTAAGATTTAAATCGGAATTTGATTTGCGCTGTCGAGACATTCACAGCAATGCTGCACTTTTTTTTTCACATTGTATCAAGATTATTGCAGTGAATGAAATCGAATGAAATACATTTTTGTGAATGAAATGAAATATAAACCAAAGTGTGTTTTAAAAAAACAAAAACTAACCGAAAGCACATTTTACACGGATAAACTCAAACTAAATATAATTGAAATGAAAATGTTCTTTGTTTTCATCTTTGTCAATTCATATCATACATGTGCTTTCCGGTTTCATTTTAAATGCATTTATTTTTGTATTGCAGTACGTCAGTACAGAGTAAGGAAGATCAAAGAGTCATTTGAGAATTTTAGATGACTTTATGACACAATCTCAGACAATTTTATCTTGCACGCTACAAACACTTCAAATATGAAAAAAACAAACCTAATACTAAAACTAATAAAAGTCAACCTAAAACATAGCTTTTTTTTGAAAAAGAAAAACTAGAAACAAGCTCTAAAATTATGTAATATAATCTAAAAAAATATCTAACTTTTTCACCTGGGGGTGCACTCGCTTTTGTTGCCTGCAGTATAGACCTTAATGGTTGTGTGTTCAGCTATTTTAAGAGGCCACCACATTTACGTTGTTGTACAAGCTGTACACTGACTGCTTTACATGCTACTAAAGGCCATTTCTTCAGTGTTGTCCCATGATAAAATAAAATAAAAAAACTGAGGGGCATACATTGTATAATGAGCACTTTTGACATTGTTTTTCTCGTGACGCCTTTAGCTGTTCTTACATAACTTGTTACGAAACATGCCTTAGTACCTTCAAGGCGATATACTTGGGGGGGGGGGGATGACCGCCGACAACCGATCACACACACTCACCGACGAGATACATTCCAATCCAGTCCCCAGCGTCCACTTCCTCCTTGATGTCCCACGCGATCACGAGGTCTTCGGACTGGCCTATAGTGTAGTGAGAAGAGCTTGCGGCGAGGGTTGAGCGAGTGTCCGGGGAGACCAGATCAGTGTCACTGGTGGACCGTGACAACCCTAACATGAAGGCTTCCTGGTTCAGACCGCCGACAGCGTAGGTGTCTGGCCCATAGCTGTGACGATCTTTACAGCGCTGGCGGCTCTGGTTGCTGCGGGTTGGCGAGGCCATAGCCGCCAGGCCCAAAAGGCGATTCTGGTACAAGTTCTGGAATACGACGCACAGTTACACAGAGAACAATATGTTCAATCCATTGAAAAACTGAAAAGAGAGGAGCTGCTGTATATTTCCCCTCTCAAAAGCGAATACAGTTGGTAAACTGACAGTGCACGGTTTGTCATGTCATTGACAGTAACTTTTTGTAGTATTTTTTTTTTGTCTCACCAAGCTGTATAAGAAACCAGGTAATTACACAAAGGGCTAGCAAATTAACAGTCCTTTTGAGAGGCACCGTTGCATATTCCCTGTACGTGTACTCGAATCGTAACTAAAGTGAATTTAAAGACATCCAATCTATCAATCCATCAATTCATTTGGTGGAACGAGCCACGTAACAGTTCAACGCGGAAGCCGCGACCGCATTTATAGTTGTAATGAAGGATGACAAAAATTTCCATCCTCGGATCTCGGGATCATGGAATGCTCCAGTTAGAAAGGACCTTCAGGGCATGGCTGAGCCAGTCAGTCCAAATGCTGAAGTACTTTCGGCGTGCAGTTGGCGAAGGAGGGGCAGGATACCGGCACGCGAAGCGAAACGCGTGCTTTTGCTTTTGTCACAATGCAACGGAGATTTAAAAAAAAAAAAAAGGCGGCGGGAATTGTTTTTGCAAAAGTACTGCATTGAATCCTGGCTGGATGGTGGTAAGGCGGTAAATGAAAGAAGAAGTGGATGGTCATGAGTGATAGGTGGTGGTGGGGGGTGGGGGTGTTGAGGGGGCACACTGACCTTGATACTACAGAGCTGCATCAGCATAATGACCAGTCAACCCAAAGCAGACCAAAACCTGAGGGAAGTGTGAGGAGGAGACGGGTGCTCGGTTACAAACCACAGGACGCAAAAGCAGAGGCAGCGAATGAAGCAGGTCAAACGTTTTTTTTTTTTTGCGCCGTGATGAGAGAGGGGAAACCATGGGACGGGGGCGAGTGGGGGGGTCACACGTCATCCTTTCCAGATAAAAATACAAATGTTGAACAACAAAAGGGAAATGCAGCAGACCAGAAATAAAGAAAACAAACCCACTCGCACCCTTCCAAAAGTATTGGAAACAGTGAGGGTGCTTTCTTTATTTTTTTTTGCTGTACACTTGAACACATTTGGGCTTGATATCAAAATATGAAGATGGCTGACATTTGAACCGAAACATTTTTTGAAGAGGTGTCATCCATCATCAATTATCTCATTTTTGATGACAGATTAATAAATGTATGCGGACCATTCAAGTAAGCCAGAAGGGGGAAAAAAATACACAGCCAGCCAACATGAAAAATAGTACAGCACGCCGTTAATATTTGACGTGTCTGTCACTGTGTGATTAAAACCAAGCATCTCTACTTTTTGAGGACTTGACGAAACTCCGCTTCACACCGTTTGGCATTTATCTTTCTCTCAAGTCACGAATGTCCATCAAAGCAAAGCCGCAGACGGCGCCGCCCACTTTGTTTGGAAGACGATGGACTTTAACGTCGAGAGCCACTTGCCGTTACTCTGATTTATGACGCCAGCTGCCTCCGGCGTTGGCTACTGACTGTAATGTTGTGAGCTGAGGATAACGGCGCGGGTCTAATCGCGTCGACTGTACCACGTCAGGCTGATTCGCACAAGTCAAAATTCGGTGGCCGCGTAAGCCGATTAATGACACCGATTTCACGAACGTGCGATACTTTGTTCACATTGTGGCAGTTTCGTACAAGCAGCAATGATGGAAAGTCTCCCTTGTATGATATTGCTGAATTTGAATATGGTTGAGAGACTGCTTTATGGTGAGATTTTTCTGCAGGCTGTATGTACTTTGTATTTATGTCATACAAGTGAACTTCAACGAGATCTTCCATGATACATTCCGTATTTGTCTGCCCGAACTATTCTGCAATCAATTAGCAATTTGCAGCGCTGTATGCAAATTGCGGCACGTAGGCGTCAGGACAAATAAGGGACTTCCTGATCTAATCGGGTTCAAATCCCCCACAGTCCTCATTAGTCTTTTAGTGTCACATCACGAGGGTGACACAGCTAGTTAGAGGAACACACGCGTAGCGATCTCCCGGGAATTTTCAGATGTCCTTTCTTATTCGAGAAATTCCCAAGATAAACTGGGATGATTGCCTTCAAGATGACATCATCATTCATTGAGCACACAAGCGGGGCGGGCAGTATGGAAGACAGGAAAGCGTGCAGGAAATGAAATTACCGCCTACTGTCGCTCAATAATTATTTCCAAACCTAGCCTCTCTTCGACTCGGCGTTCACAATATGGGCGAGTGATTGAGGTTGTCAGCCAAGCGCTGCCATCCATATGGACTGCGGAGACTGTGGATGCTCCATTTCATGTGAACCGATATCCACTCGAGGCCCATTTTGAGAGCGGAAGCACGTAAACTGGGTATTTGATTTCTGAACAACTCGTAGAACTTTGGCATCCTAGTTTTGCCAACAACACGTGACGTCTAGTGGATATTTCGGCGCTACTCGTAAGGTTTGGTCAATTTGAATTGTCTCACAAGTGAGGAGAAAGAGCAACAATGTTATGTTTTTGTTTAGATTACATTTGGTTTTGTTCCCTCGTGCCTTTTTTTGTCATCGACTGTTCTCGTCATGCGGGTCCCTTGCGTTAACCAATCAGCTCCCTCAACCCTTTGTGTCTCGGCCAGGTGTTTCTCGTTGTCTCGTCACTTTGCTTGTATTTAGTTCCCTGGGTCCTGTCAGTCGACGTCACATCATTGTGCTCCTGTCATGTGTGTGCTGCTGTCATAGTTTTTTTTGTTTGTTTGTTTGTTTGTTACTTTGGTTTCTTGTGGTTTTGATTTAGAATCAAATCAAATATGAAAGACCCGACTAATGGAGGGAGATTAGCCATCCTTCGGTGGTACTGTGTCCCATTTGTGGTGCTTCTCGATGCACAGCGGAAAAATGTCTTTTTCTTGGTTGGAAGTTGCCTTTTGTCACGAAATAAAAGCTCTCGCCTGCAGCCAGAAATGAAACCTCGAGACACGGCTGGATACATTTATGAACTAACCGTGGTTGCATATAAAGTGCAATCTGCCGTAGCGTTTTTCTTTCTGCCCCCGATGGTTTTAGTCTTCGAGTGCTTCTGTCTTTTCACTTCTTTCAAGAAGGCCGGGAGGAGAAGCGCAATATAACAAGTCGATTCAACATGTTCAAGTTTGACGATCCGGAAGTAACGTAGTAGATGTCAACAATGCCGACGTTTAAGTAGAAGAGGTTTGGTTCTCTTTTATATTATGTTACAGTCAACTTGAACTGGTGAGAGACAAACATTTTGATACAAAAAGGAGGTGCAACGATTAATTGACAACTAACAGATAAATCAAATTCATCAATGATTATTTTTGATCACAGATTAATTGTTTAGATGGAAAAATCAAGATTTTGGGTAGCAGTCATTAAGACAGAGAGGTGAAAGTGTTATTTCGGCGAGACAAACATTGATATTTTTCAGACTACAGAATAATGATTGTTTCGAGGTCACGTGTTGCTCCACTATTTAAGAGGATTTTGGAGACGGGGAATCCCCCAACAAAGGAGCAGGAAATCCCAATTTTTCATCCGTTATGATCAAACATTTCAGTCTCTAGTTAGTCATCGACAACAATGTTTATTTTTGTGCATTGCCCCCCTTCAATAAACCAACAAACTATCATGTGAGAAAAGTAAAAATAGGACAGAGTCGAGCTATCCCGCAACCATCGTTCAATGTATTAATTTTTAAATGATGAATTGTTGTTTGCCTATCCATCCACCCATCCATCCATCCATTTATCCCAATTTAAGCCATGATGAAGTGTGTCACCAATGCAGCACTGTGACTCATATGACCATGAAAGGACAAATAATAGCAATGCTTTTCTTTTGTTATTAAACAGCTCAATTTGTTCCTGACCAGTTAGCATAGCATCTAACACAATTAGTGCGTCCTCTTGAGCAAAAACTTGAACGTTAGCATTGATTTCGAACCTTGTTACTGAAAGAAGAATCAAATGAAAATTAATTTATCGCCACCTTCCTAACGTAATGGCTTCATTCTTTTGTTCATATTTATTTCTGAAAACATGACAAATTGAATCAAATACACATTACATTATGATATATATTTATTTTCGAATTATCTGTTTAAGGCAAAAAAAACATGAGCCATTATTTTAACAAGGTGACATTATTCCAATAAAATTCTACTTTCTTTACTAATTTGTAACGAGGAGTTATTTAATATTTTTGTGTTGCTCTGCATGCGCGTGCGCGCGCGCGTGTGTGTGTGTGTGTGTGTGTGTGTGTGTGTGTGTGTGTGTGTGTGTGGCTGCTGGGGAAGTGTGATGAAGCACAACCGTAATTGACCCTCAAAACAACAAGCATTCATGAAATTCGTCTTGTAATCGATACATGACAGTTTTTGGAATGTTATTAGGCACGTCGTTGCTTTTTTTTTTTTTTTTTTTAACGAATAAGAGAAGATGTGAGATGCAAGCTAACAGGCGCTGTTGTGGGCCGCTGCTGCTCCAGGCTGCATCGTCAAAGCGTTACAACCGCAGCAATGGTGACGGTTCAACCTACCTGGGATAAAATAACCTGAGAGTGGATCATTCTCCGGATGTGAAAATCGGAACTGGTGCACGTCGACTACTTTCCATCAAGGTCCATGTCGGACGAGAAGAACAAGGGGGAAACAGAGAAACGGCTGAAAGATGAAGGGCTGATGACAAACACGAGAGATCGGAGTCACATCCTTTCCTCTTTCGCTGGACCAAAGTGAAGCTTGGCTATACAAGGAATCCATTTCCGGTTATAGCAATACACCTCCACGACACATTTAGGGAAATCCATTTATTTATTTATTTATTTATTTATTTGTTAAGAAAACAACGTTAGGAGACTAAACCTTGCGTATTCAAATATCATCCAAAATTATTCGACTAAGTGAATAAAATACTCGCGAGGGACTGGACCTGCGGTCACAAATGTTTCTATTATTTTGAAAGTTCCCTTTTTGGCAAGACTGTAGGTAAATATGCGATACTTGATACATTCGGGGAAAAGTGCTCTCAGCCAATCAGAAAACGCGTCCCTCCTCCCATCTTGGCACTCTCTCGGCAGCATCCCCCAAAATATACAAAGGAAACGGGTAAACTACAACTACTACTACTACCAAGTATAATAATAACAATGATAATAACGATATTTGTATTCTACGAAATGTATTTATTGTACTTACAAATGCGCACTTCAAGAATGTGTTTTAAAGCTCATTCGATCTGCATTACTGCACGCTTTACATGACGAGTATACTTTGTACATTTGTGTGTACTGTACAGTACGTCCTAAATCAACCTAAAACCAAGCTTGTTACTCAATTGACTTGTACATTCTCGCTATTGAAATGAAGTGAAATGCAACGAGTCCATTCCAACACCAACCCCAGAAACTCACCACCATTTTTGTGGTATGTTTTTAATAAAGTAAGTTGTATTGACATAATTCAGTAAACTACAGTCGGGAGATGAGGTGAAAGATGACACATTTATTGCAGCACATGAACTAGTCAACCTCCTTTCAAATTACCCTTTACTGTATATTAGCTGGCATATTATCTGATTGATAGTATGCCAGCATTTTGACTTGTTTTTCTTTTCACAACCCTCTCAACGGTGACACGTTTCATTGATGCAAAGGATGCGTGCACCACCTCTCTGATCCTTCTCAGATTAGACACAGCAGGGAGACTGTGGCAGTAAACCGGGTTACAGCTGCAGGAGACCGTATTTCCTTTCGTATAAAAGGGAGGAAGGAATGAAGATCCGACACTACTTGATCAGCATATTCCTTTCAGGCTGCACACTTCATTTGTTCCCGTGTGGATCCTTTGAGAGTCTCCTTCTCCTAGTAGGACAAAAGCAGCTGAAGCCTAGTGTGTGTGTGTGTGTGTGTGTGTGTGTGTGTGTGTGTGTGTGTGTGTGTGTGTGTGTGTGTTACGGTGTGTATATATATATATATATATATATATATATATATATAGTCTTCATTAATCCTCCTCCACCTCAATAACATTTTCAACCCCTCCATCTTAATGGGTTGCTGTAATGATTTTCTTTTCTTTATTGTCTGAGGATGTTATCCACAGTTCTCAATTACAGCATAGAACTGAGAGAGTCTCTGGTGGCACCTTTTGGACAGATGTTTGCTGGTGCCGCTTTTGTTCCGCCATTAATTTCATTATCAGCCGACAAGCAAACTACTGTACTGTTTTCAGCCCGACAGTTGAGCATTATCTCATTTCAGTCACGGTTTTGCACTGTCAAGGGAATTACAGTGCAATAACTTTGTAGCGGTTTGCACTTTTTGTGTGGGTGGGACTTTGATTGAAGGGGAAAAGAGAAAATGCCTCAGTGAATGTAAATGAGTAGCCGACATTTACATCTTCCAAGGTTTGCCGCACTTATGTTCCCCTGATATCCACCTATCTCGCTGTCATTCCACCCCCTCAATTGATCTCCCATTCCCTTTCATTTCTCTCATTTCCGCTCACTCCCTCTTGCCGAACATCATCTCCTTTTTATACTTCTTGGACTAATTTACGCTGGCTCTCTTAAACTTGAATCAGTGAGGCCCAAGAAGCAACAGGTTACTTTTCATCTACTGACTTGGCCTTTGAAAGAAAGAAGGAAGGAAGGAAGTCATGGTTGGTGCAGAAATGATGCACCGATGATTTACACCAAGATCTCGAGATTCTCAACCAAAGTGAGGTACAAAAAGTTTCCTTTCAAATCCTGATACCAGTGTGTCTGCTGAGTTTGTGAACTCCAGTAGACTGCTTTCCCAAAGCAGCAACCTCGTTCAAGACTCACATGCATTTTGAATTTGCAGACCCACTTAAGGGAGTCTCTCACTGTATTCAACTAAGCATTCGGTGTTTTTTTCCAGCCACGTGTTTTCTCAGAATCATCTGAATATTTTAAAATCATGAATTGTAGATGGCAAAATCCCTTGAGATTCTTGCAACCGTGCTAAAAAAGTCTTTCTGTTTCTATTTCTTGGCATATACATATTTTTTAAAATAGCATCTATTGAAATACGATCCAAAATACACTCCATGTACAGGATTGTACAATCTGAAACTCTAATATACAATATATTATCACCCTTTCCTCCATTCTATGCGAAGCGCCTAAACGAAGCTCTTTGATAGTCTCCAACAAAAGAATGGAATGCCTGTAGAGCTCAGACCTCCACCAACATATAAGCCCTGCAGATGGCAGCAAGGTCCAGCATATTCAGTCGATCAGGTTCTATAAAGATAGATCATAATAAAAAAAACTATCTGTGAGCAATAGCAATTGTTTGGAATCCCAGCTCAGGTCCTTCTTGTGTGGAGTCTGAATGTTCTCACTGTGCTTGCATGCGTTTTCTCCATCCCCATTCAAATGAGTTTATTTGAAGACTCAAAACTGTCCATTGGTGTGAATGTGACTGTGGAGGTTGATTGCCGATATGTGACCAACACTTGGCGAGCTACCAGTCCAGGGCGCAACCGACCTCTTGCCCAGAGGTAGCTGGCTCCAGCTCACTCTTGACCCTAAAAAGGTTAAGCCTTATACAAAATGGATGGATTTACGAATACACTGCATGTTAGGTCTGAATGAATCTTCTCAACACTCTGTAAAGTATGACTCAGGTATAGCATCCTTAAACATGACAATGTCGAGACTGTATGTCACATGTCGAGCTGGTAAAAGTATAGTCACACTTGACAGACTTATTTTTATAGCACAATGAATAGTTGTGGTCGGACACATTATTATTACCTGGCTGAGGGGAAACATTGAACAAAAGGGGTCCCGGAATGGACCCCTGGGGGACCCCACAAGTCCCTGCAGTCTCACAAACCACTTCCTGTCCTCAAGGTAGGACTTGAAGGCAGGACGAGAGGTAACAACCCAGTCCCCGAACCCCTGTAAACGCGATCAAATGATTGACTGTGTCAAATACAGCACTCAGATCCAGAAAGACTCAGATTGAGATTTTCCATGAGTAAGTTCTTGGACGACTGTCACTTGATAAAAGGGGTCTCAGTGCTCTTGATGGGGCAAAATGTTTTTAAGTACAATATAGTATTATACTGCGTTATTGCCTAACATTGGTTAGTAGATTTTCTCACTGCTCCGTCGAGTCAGATCCAACTGCTTTGAAAGCCAGCAATGTGTGTACTGTATTACATACTGTATATGACAAAATGGAGTTATCCTTTGATTGACATAGTGTGCACTTTTTAAATGTTGCAATGGGAAGGACAAGCTGGGCTTCTGTAGTCTCAATGCTATATCCTATACTGCCTGTAGGTGGCAGTGTGGTCATTCTGTCCTTTCCCCTGCCTAAGTGATGAAGCATTGAGAAGCCTTGCTGTGTGTTCTCTGGAGCATCATGTAGTTCTGTCTTTCTGCCTCTGTCATACCAGTGCGGGATTCTATATTTACATAAGTGGGATGTTTGTGCGTGCTTTAGCTTTGACTTGTCTTTGCCGGCCAACAGCAGCAGGGCACACAATCTGCTGCATTGTACAACGCATATTGTAACTCTAACCGCCCGCTTGCTCTCCTCATCCATCTGCTGCTCATTCCTCCATATTCATCTTGCACTTTTTATATTTTAGGTGATATGATCAAACGAGGCTTTCCACATCTCAAATATTTTGGTGTTATGTGTTTTTGCCGCGCGGGCTCTATGCTGGCCATTTATTCCACTTTGGATTCTTGTCTTTGAAGACGTTGAACTGTGGTAAATGCGAATGCAATCAAACTTCCCAAAGATGTTTTTGTTGTTGTTGTTTGTTCTATTGTGTAATTCACAACTTCAGCTCTATAAAACCTATCAATGATATATTCTTTATATCAATTCCTGGCCACCTTTGGTTGTTTGAAAGCCAAGAAAGATGATTTCTAATTGCTCGTTATGTGCTGGGTTGATTCACACAATTCCGGCAAAATGCGTTCCGCTCTGGACTCAACACTTGAATATTTTTGTTTTGTTTGATGAGTTTTCTCCCTGATTACATCATTTATCAATATTAGGACAAGGGAGCAATTTCATGTAATATTCATGGATCCAGAAAGAGGTGCTAAATGGCTTACTGCTCTCCAAAGGAGAAAATGGATGATGCAATTTTGATTTTCAGAAGTGAAGCTACCATCTGTTGACCGTGGAGAAAAGTGACATATTAATTTAAGGTGTGGAAGCTCCCTCTGGTGGCTGCAGAAAGACTGTAGCGTGAGCAATCTACCGTATGAAAAAAAAAAAGTGTGATTTGTTGTTTTGCAACGTGTACATTCTACAAACAAACTGGAATTTGTTGTGGCCACCAACAAGCTAACAGTTGCGACAATAACTGTTGATCCCTGCCAGCCCCTGCCAGAGAATACGAGAACAAATGAAGCCAAGTAAAAGTTGAGTCAGGAAGGCCGTCTCCTTGTGAATGCCCTCTAAGTCAAAGCACACTTTTCTCACTTTGTCTGCTACGGTCCATTAGTTTAGTCACATGTATTCCAATCACACCCTAACGCGCTGCCCTTTCGAGCCAATTACTTTTACGCTGCCACATTTATGTGTTATCTCTCACTTTGCTGCTGTTAAACCATCAGGACAGCGTTGTGAAAACAGTGACCCTCCTCCGCCCACACACCACCTCACAAGACCTACGGCTTGCATGTGCCCTCATGTAAACAACGCTGCACTAAGTTCCGGT